ACATATCGCATACTTTATACTGGATATTACAAGACAATGACTAACCAAAGAGCCGTTGATTTCCGAGGGTAGAATTCCGGGGTCAGATATTTATGATTTAACCACTGGGGGTAGATGTCCGGGGGTAGATGTCTGGGGGTAGATGTCCGGGGGTAGATTTCCGGGGGTAGATATCCGGGGGTAGATTTCCGGGGGTAGATATCCGGGGGTAGATGTCCGGGGGTAGATATCCGGGGGTAAATGTCTGGGGGTAGATATCCGGGGGTAAATGTCCGGGGGTGGATTTCTGGGGGTAGATGTCCGGGGGTAGATTTCCGTGCTATAGCAAATCACTTTATAATCAAACAATTACATGTTGATTATTTAATAATATATTGGGGGTAAATTTCCAGTCGCGGGCTGTTTCTCGACCGTGTTTAGGCCCCGCCCCTCGTGACGTCAAAATGACGTAGGCGTTTTTTCATGGGGGTAAATATCCGGGGGTAGAAATCCGCTACCCCTCTAAGACTAAACTGTACTAGAACTGTACTAGTCTAATACAAAACTGGCTCAGAGTTCATTGCACTCTATTTATTGTCGCCGGCTCCGGCAAAATAGTTTTCGCCGGAACAAGTGTGTTCTGACCCTCAACCTTCGGCGGATCCGGCGCTCGGCGGTTTCGCCGGTAAGTGTGTCCCTGGCCTAAGGCAGTGCAATATGTGTAAATTTTCAATAAATAATAAATCATAGACATGCAAAAATTACTAGAATAATTTTATTTGCCTCATGTATTTGAATGTTTAGGCCTATGCCTAAATATAGGTATTGTAAGTTATAACCGTAAAATTTCTTTTCAACTTCCATTCATAGGACTACTGCTAAATAGGTACACTTGAAATCATACACTTATGCTAATGATCCTTTCATTTATACAATAGACCTACTGCACCTTGTGCAAGTATAGTATTAAAAAAATCGAGACCATTAATATTTTATCTCATCAGAGACTATTACTTCAATGTCCTTACTTTCAACAGCAGCATATTGTTGTAACAAAAGCATAATATTTTCATATTAAAATATAAATTAGCCTATGTAGGCTAGGTCTACTTATTTTGATGTCTACAAGCAGGTATTGCTAGAAATCTTTTTTCAGTTAGCCTAACTAATACAATATACTAGGTGAATCCCGTCAAAATCGACGGTTACTTTCAAGGCTTACGTTAATTCATCTAACGTTTTAATTCACCTAAAATGTTTTAGGCCTATTGCTGTTTCACTGAACTATATTTTGTTTTCACTGAAGTATACTTTTGTTTTATACCTACACTAGCTGTACCCACGGGCTTTGCCCCGTTTTACTTCATAAGTGAGCTCGTTCGCATGGCTCAATCACGTCCTTTTTGGTTGCAAATTAGCTGTACAGTGGTCATAAATTAAAATAACATAGTGCTGAACCCTGTTGGTAATCCTTGTAACTTAAATGCTATTGCACATCATAGAACAGAACCAACTTGTTTAATTGAAACAGCTGTTAATATTCATTAATTCCATTTAAATATGAGTACTCATAAGGTTAACATGGGAAACTCCAGAGCCACTGGGGCGGAGCCCGAGAGTCGGATCAGAATAAAAATAGCTTAGTTTTCCTATTTAATGCCTAAAGAATCAGTGTACCAAATTTCAGCCTCCTAGGTAAATGGGAAGTGGGAGAATTAGTGATGAGTGAGTGAGTGAGTGTGTCAGTGAGGGCTTTGCCTTTTATATATTTAGATGAGAGATGACTATTATTTTGTTGTTTTGTTCTTGTGTATTGTATTTGTCTTTTATTTGTGTTTATATTTTATGTAATGATGAATTTGACACCATTCTTGTATATACAATTTTATATACTAATGAATAAAGATGTTTTGAATTGAATTGAATTGAATTAACTGCGATAAATTGGGTGAAATATTCATATTTTGACCATTTAGCATTGTTTAAAGAGTAATAAGTGTAAAATTAATAATGATATTAATTGTTTTTGTTGCCAAATTTGGTTGATCATTCAATGATTAAAATATTTCCTATACTGTACGTCATCGGAGTTATTATTAGTATGTTATATAGTATCTCTTCCTTTGGAAGAACCTTTAAATAGTATTAAAATTGTATTGGTGGATCTTTTGTAGCTAAACACTTCTGTGATTTCATCAGTGTAATATGATTTAATTGAAAAGAAAATATTTTTTTGGGAAGACATATTCTTACTTTAAAGGGAGGTACATCCGTTACAGTGTAAGTTTGATTTTTCCTTCGTCACGTCGCGTCAGTTCATATCGTACTTATGTGCCAATGAATGAACCCTCTAGCATAGTTTTGAGAAATTGATTGTGGGGTTACTGTTAAAGCTGGAATTCCTTGACATGGGGGATGTCAGTTAGTTGTCTCAGCCTTATCAATAACATAAAGTTGTCAATATAATCTCTCCACGGAATTTTAGGTGTAGAGGATGATACTTGAAGTGAAGTTGGCTTTTATTCTTGAACTGTTAGGGGCCTCCAAGTTCATATGGTGTTGGCGGCTTCATTGGCAACAAATAATGCAAATGACATAGCAATGGGACATTTTCAAAAAGCAAAAATACTGTAAATTGGCCGTTACATATATATTGAAGTTTACATATTGTTAATCAACGTATCTTATAAAGGATTATGTGATCTAGTTTAAAAGGAATATGACCGTTCTGTCATGACAGTAGCTGCTTAAATATAGTATTTTCTCTTTGTACCATATTTTACAGCCAAAATGTCGTGTTATTTTCAATAATGTTACCAACCCAGTGCGCCAAAGGCTATAATATAGGCAGGTGCAAATAATTTGTCCAGATGGGTACCATTTTAGGCAATGTTTCTATGTTTGGATTTTATTAGACACGATAAGAGCAGATATTTCTACATAAATTTTTGATATGTGTAGAATAATGTGATAAAATGTAGGCAAAAGTGGTGAAAAAGGCAGACACCAAACCCGTACAATAGATATAAGATAGTTCAATAACAAATAATTTAAGAATTGCTGTGATAAAAGGATTTTCCACTGATTTCGTAATGGAACGTTTTATTGCAAAACATGACATGATAAAGAAGAAAATCATTTTAAAATTAGAAAATAACATTGCAAATACTTATTTGGTAGAATAAGTATCCAGTAACTCCCAATAAATATGTGTTGTTTCAAATACAATTTAAAAATGAACAGCTGTTTCATTAAAAAGTATTATTCACATGGCCAAAATGCAAACAACTCTGTGGAGGGATCTTTAAAGGCTCCTGGGGCAGAGTCCTAAGGAATTTTGCTTAGTTTTTCTTTTTATAACTCATCTACAGACCAAGACCTTTCTTTGGACACCTCTACCAAGTTTCTACGCCCAGCCGTTCTCTCAAATTAGTGGGGACAAAGTTTCCAATTAAATATTTGGATTCCCCATGTTAATCTTATGGGAGAAACTCCAACTTTGATGGCCTGTGGGGCAAAGCCCGAGGACTTTTATTACAGGAATTGTTGAAAGGGGGCGTCCACACAAAAAATACTTTATTTTGATACGTCGTTTTTAAAAATCCATCCATTATTAACGGAGGAGTAGTGTTTTGTAGAAATCGCCTTCACATATTAGATATAAGGATTATGTGTAATATATGTAGGGTCAAGCGGGGTAATTGGGATCAGAAAATCGTATAATTCACCTTTGAAGTGACACAGTTTTTTTTTAGTCAGTATAGAGCTATGAAACTTTGCGCACAAATAAAATGGTATCTTAAGTGATTGCTAAATTAATTTCCAATTTTTAGGCAGAGTAAAAGTATGGAAAAAAATGTTTTTCAAAACCCTTAGGCCTACACGTGATCCTAATTATTGTCCCACCACACCGGAGCAAATGGAATCACAGTTGGTATTTTCCAAATGCTTCTATATAGATCAGTTCTGGGGCAATTGGGGTAATTTTTCCATGTTGTCAGTTTTCAGAGAAATTTTAAATTTTTGAATTCAAGTTTAACAACTTTGGGAGTTACGAGCTTTTTTGCAGGGCCATGTCAGAGGTGACCCAAAATACTTATTTTGGAAATTACTTATGAAAATCAAGTTACTTATTAGAAAAATTATTATTATTAGCCTAAGTAATAAAAAATATTAAGTAATTAAATTAATATTTTTTTTTAATAATTACTTAATAATTTTAATTAAGTAATTACCAAATTACTTATATTGGAATCATGGTGATTCTAATTATCACACACCCCGTTATTCCATTTACCCCATGATGGGGTAATTGTGATCACGGCTATAACATTTTATCTGTTAATCTGAAGCTATTGTTGATATTTTTTATGGATTCCTTGATGAAAAATAAATACATTTCAAGTCTTCTTATCATTTCAACACTTCCAGGAAAAAATCAGAAAAATACCAAAAAATCATAATCAAATTTTTGTGACAAGTGTAAATGAAAGCATTTAGCAAATAATCACCAGAAAAAATAAAATATGAAATTTTTATCAAAAAAATTAGTGGTACCTAACCGAAAAAAAAACATATGAGGTATTATAAAATTCAACATGTGTAATTTTGAAGCAAAAATAAGATCACTGCAACCCGTGATTCCAACAGCCCCTTGCTCCCAATTACCCCACTTGACCCCATATCATATTAGTTTATAACATTTTATATTTGTATATTTGTATGTTATTTTATATTTGTGGCAAAAGTGATATAACGGATAATTCAGTTAAATAAATTAATACCGTTGGTTGAGCATTAAACCAATCACCGATAGCGTCCTATCCCCCACCTGTCCGGTATGATCCTTCTCTTTGCCCTCAGTTGCCCGAGGGCAACACCTTTCTTTCACCTACACCGACTTCACCATATAACGTAATCTCTTCACTCTATTAATGTCAACCGGCGGTAATATCACCCTGGTATTACCAGTAGAGAAGTGTCAATAGTTCAGTGAGTAAGATCATTTCATTATGTTTCAGCTTACAGGGATATCTCTGATAGTTGTTGGGCTTATTATCAGGTCGGAAAATACTCAGTACAATAAGGTGATTGATCAAGACTATGCTAGTGCAGCCAATGTTCTTATTTTCCTCGGATGTTTTGTATTCTTTGTTTCGTTTTTTGGTTGTTGTGGTGCTATCAAGGAAAGTCACTGTATGATATTTACGGTAAGTATTAAGTTAGCTATATTGTTAAATTATATATGTTAAGTGTACTGCAGCCTTGATTCTGTAGTTTCCAAAAAACCATTGAATGTGATAATATTAAATTGACTAAGTTTGCTCAATTAAAACAAACCACACAATTTGTGATGTTCTGTGGGAAATACAAGTCCAAAGAAGTATAAAGGAAATTGTAATATATGTTTATATTAATTGTACAAGAAGCAGCATTTGATTTTATAATGTTGGTTGCATTCCAGATGTTAAAGACTTTTGTTTTGTTCTGATTGTTAATTTTGTAAATAACAATAATAATTGAGTTGTGATTGAAATGGAGAATAAATTGAATACACTAGATTTTATCTTGTTCTTATAAAATATTACAATGGCGCAGTCAAATTAAACGGACCTCGTTCCGAGTGATAGTAAGTCTAGTAAAAGTAAAGGTTTTTTTTATACCAGATTCTGAAGAAGATAAATCTAAACTTCAAAAAAAAAAAGGGAGGTAAAATATCGGAAGGGTTCCAGTTTGCCCCACGCTGATGCGTTGTCACACTTACCACTACCCGAGAATGAAACTTTGGAGTTGGATGAAAATTATATATCTCATGTGGAATCTTGTGTAAGAGAAATGAACTTTTTCAATTCGGGGAGTGACGATTCTCCAATCACTTCTTTAGAGATAGGACAATTGACTGATAAAGACCCACTGTTGTCTAAAGTTCGGGATTTTATGTTGTATGGGTGGCGTGAAATTGTAGACCCAATGTTAATTCCATTTCAGAGAAGGAAAGATGAATTGTCAGTGGATAAAAATTGCATTTTATGGGGCAGTAGAGTAGTCATACCTAAGAAATTGCAAGGTAAAGTCATCCAGATATTGCATGAACAACATCCTGGAATTACTCGAATGAAATTGTTGGCACGCAGCCACGTGTGGTGGCCTGGGATCGAAAAAGTAATTGAGGATGCTGTGTCATCGTGTTTGATTTGTCAAAGTACAAGAAATGCTGCTTCAAAAGTTCCATTGCAGCAATGGCCGTTAACTTCCGAGAGATGGCGCCGAATTCATATCGATTTTGCTGAAGATCCAACCACCAGACAGCAAATGTTGATTGTAGTGGATAGTTTTTCAAAGTGGATGGAAGTATTTTTAATGGATTCTATTTCCACGGGGAAGACCATTGAGAAACTTCGTACACTATTTTCTGCTTATGGTTTACCTGAGGAGTTGGTGTGTGACAACGGCACGTCTTTTACCAGTCTAGAATTCAGGGAGTTTCTTAGAAAAAATTGTGTGAAACTAACATTTTCTCCACCATATCACCCTGCCTCCAATGGAACAGCCGAGCGTTCTGTTCAAGAAGTTAAGAAAAGTTTGTTAAGGCAAGTTTTGGGTGAAAAATCATCTCAGCAGACATCACTGCAGTATAAATTGGATAACTTTCTTTTCGCATATCGTAATACTCCATCGTCAGTAATCGGTGTGAGCCCGGCTGAACTGTTCTTACGTTGGAAACCTCGAACAAAATTGACTATGTTAAAACCTAATCTACTAGACGAGTCAAGGAAGAAGCAGGAAATGCAGAAACGAGCCTCAGATAGGCATAGAGGTGTGTGTAGATTTTTTAATTAAAATCAGAAGGTGTTGGTTAAAACAGTCAGACAGGAGAAGGTTAGTTGGGTTCCAGGTCGTATATTACAGTGTAAAAGTCCAGTTACTTATTTGGTTAGTGTTCTTGGCAAAACAAGAGTTTGCCATGCAGACCATCTTAGGCCAACTGAGGTAGAGGAGGACGAAATCATTGTGCGGAAAGAGGAAGTTGGAAGGACTATTGAGGCACATCAACAAGAATTCAATAGAGGTTTGCCTATTCTACAGGAGTCTACATCACCATCAATATCAAGACATGATGCTTCACCTTATTTGCCTAGATTGAAGTCTGGTGTTGGGAATCCACGGGGTGTACAATACAGTCCATCTACAGTTTTGAGGAGATCACAGAGGACTGTGCACAAGCCGGAGAAATTGGATCTATAAAGTTGGAGAAGCCAAAGAGTCAGAAGAAATTTTAAAGTTTTAAAGTATTATGAGCCAAGCAAATTTTAAGTGTTGGCGAGTGTAATATATGTTTATATTAATTGTACAAGAAGCAGCATTTGATTTTATAATGTTGGTTGCATTCCAGATGTTAAAGACTTTTGTTTTGTTCTGATTGTTAATTTTGTAAATAACAATAATAATTGAGTTGTGATTGAAATGGAGAATAAATTGAATACACTAGATTTTATCTTGTTCTTATAAAATATTACAGAAATAAAAAAATAATATAGGCCTAATCCTTTTAATTTTAAATCAATCCCTATTTTAGTTTAAGATTCTAACAATGTAAAATTATTCACAACACAGTGCTGAGTTTTTATTTTTTCATAAGAACAAACAAAAGAAATTCCTACAGCTGGTCTTAGAGCAAAGGTAAAAGAAAAAAATATGGAAGGCTAAAGCATGTACTGTGTTTATTTATTGCATTTATTTTATTATTTATCAAGGAACAGACTGTGTTTATTTGCCTTGGTGGGTGATCAGATTGTGCAGCTAATAGTCCTAGTTGCTACCAAAGTAGGTCCTACCACTATCGTAATTTTAACACTTGTTCTAGTTAGCGGTACGTTTCATAAGAACTTGTAGCCTACCATGAATTGCCTTTAGGTAATGTCGTCACTAATTCAAATTCAAGTTAACTTTTGATGTCAATGAGCAATGAATACATTAGTCAATTTATTTTCCAGTTCAGTGTGTTCATGGCTGCAATTTTCATCGCTGAGATTGCTGTTGGAGTGACAGGCTACATGCTGAAAGGAGAAGCGTATGAAAGTGTTACCGATGGGCTGAATTCAACCATGGTCAAATATAATCAGAGTGCCGAGTGGACAGAGTTTTGGGACGGCATTCAGGGAGGTGTAAGTACTGTGTACAGCTGGGTTTCAACTGATTGGTTATAGTTAGTGATGGGCCGATTCCAAAATTTCTCGATTCCGATTCCGATTCCGATTCCGATTCTTAAATTTGAAATTCGAATCTCGATTCCGATTCCAAATTCAATTATGTTTTATGAATGTGTTTAAAATTGTGAAATCAGTACAAGCTTACCAAGCATGTTATCTATATGTAGAATTTTGAATGTCACACATTCAATACACATTTACAAGGTTATTGTAAAATACTAGCTATAGAATATTATAAAATAACTTTTATTATGTACTATAAAAAATCATTCATTATCATTATAAAAAATCAGCCCCTATCCAATTCTTGATTTTTAATTTATATACAAACTAACCTAACCTTATATAAACTTCTAGGAGTAGGCCTAGTTGAAACAAAAACATAATTAATTGTACAGCTTAAGCAATAGATCAATAATATTAATACACGTCCCACACGTCACTTTTCTTCCTTCTAGACATGATTTTTGTTTGTCGAAATAAGTTAAACCTAACAATACTACAAACTAACAATCACGATAACTAAAAACAAGGCAAGCTCAATACGTTTTACTTTTGGGGTTAAAGTTGATCTTACAAATTGAAAAGTTACTAGGCCTATTTCACAACTATACGATTTGTTGATGCCGTCCGTACTGGAGCATTTAAGTATTTTTCACTTTATCAGTGTTGCCACTGTTGGCAGACGATAACGGAACCTGCAAAACTACTCTGCCTATCGGCCATTAAAATACCCAGTGTTCGAAGATTTACCCGTTGATTGCAACACTAAACAAGTTTATTTACAATTTCGCGCACTTGAACATTTATAGGTAGTTAAAACCTTCCAATTCACTGTACAAAATTATATTGCCAAGCCCAAGTCGCTTTTAGGCTATATAAAAAGGACGCTCGCTCTAGTCTAGTCTCGTTGAGTAGGCTAGTGACGTTTCGGGACCGAATACGAAGTGTTTTGGGTTTTGTTATACTTTGGTAATGAATGGTAGCTCAGCTCTGTTTAGGGATGAGCATCGATAGTAGATGTTTTCGCATCACCGATGTTTTTCTATCGATTTTCATTGTTTTTCACATCGATGTTTTTGACCAAGTGTATTGAGATATCGATGCTTTCTGTTACTGGAGAGTACAGAGACCAGACGAAAAATTGAAGAAAAAAATCTATGTCTTAGTCCCAAAAACATCGATGTTTTCACAACGATGTTATCGGTTACTGATAACATCGATGTAGCGATGCAATGATTCACATAGTAGCACCAATACTAGAAAAATACCGGTATGGATCATAAACATAAACAAATGACGTTGTTGGCCCGAATCCTCTACGAATAGCGTTGAACATATGTTTTGGAAGTTCCATTTAAGCAATGTGAAATAATGTGTATTATCGGGCCAAAAATGTCATTTGTTTATGTTTATGATCCATACCGGTATTTTTATACTTTTCTAGTATTCGTGGTTAGTAGCCTCGGTACCACTGGTTGATCTAAATCGATGCTCATCCCTTTCCTTGTATGTCTTGTGAGCTGTGACGCAATGCTTACTCGCTCCAGTCCAGTTTGCCCGAATCTCCAATTCCCATCTGTTAACTGTTTCTCATTGTAGGCTACTAAGCCTCTGTATTGAGTTCGCATCTATTATTTTTGCAATACGCTCGCTCTAGTCTCGCTGAGTTAGTGACGACACGACCAGGACTTGTTGTTTGCTCAGAGTTGCAAGCAAATCATTAGCAATCTGAATTTATTTTGTTTCTTTGTTGCTTTATATGAAGTTTATGGCTGATTTTAACCAATTTTATCAAAGAATCGAAGAGAGTCGGAATCGATCCCAAACCCACGGAGATTCGAATCGAATGCTCGATTCGATTCCGGCGGAATCGAGAGTATTTTGGAATCGAGAATCGGAATCGGCCCATCACTAGTTATAGTGTTCGCCTAACATTCAAAAGGTTGCTGGCTTAATCCTGAAAAAGTCAGAAACTCTTTGATGGTTCAAAACTAGACCCAACGAAATTCATAGGAGCATCACAAGAAAAATGCAACTGATATTTTCATTCTGTGTAAATACTAAAGTTGAGTAGGTTACTGCAATGAATTCTTAAACCTTATAAGAAGTGAAATGGTTATGGGGAGTAGTCAGTCTCTCTCTCTCTCTCTCCCCCTCTCTCTCTCTCTCTCTCTCTCTCTCTCTCTCTCTCTCTCTCTCTCTCTCTCTCTCTCTCTGTCTCTCTCTCACACACTGCTGAGGGGTCCCAATAGCAGCGCCTTTCCTACTGAGCGAATGCTGCGGGAACTTGCCAAAATTAAAAAATCTTAGGCTGAATTTTGACATGGCATTTAATTTCTTATAAGGTTAGTATTCATTGGTTACTGTGAGGGGAAATGGCTTTGTATTAAAGGTATCCTTACGTGATAATGAAGGCAATTATTTAAACATGTACTAATGTCTTGTTTAAGATATTTAGTAAAAAATGATAAATTCTGCCACTTTTAATTGTACTGTTGACGGACGATTTCAATCAGGCATGGCATGGACTTTGCGGCCCTTGGCGAGATCGGCGTCTGCCGCCCCAAGGGGGGTTCGGGGGTCCTCCCCCGGAAAATGGTAGAAAAATAACTTCTCTAAACACTATTTTTAAGCGTTTAGGAAGTGAAATCTGGTGTTAATACTTAATACAATTTTATGCAATTTTTTAACACTTTAACACTGAATATTTTGATTAATATGTTAACGGGACTTGGCCTATTAAAAAAAAAAATATTTCAAAGGCGAGTAATAAAATCTTTTAACTTTGTTGTTCCATTGCCACACCAGCTAACGCCATCAAATCTTTCTTTTCGGGGCAAAAAACCCGATCAGTTTACTTTGTTTCGACATAAAATAACACTCATGAGACACCACGGAATACGAAAATCATAAAAACACACTGGCACAATAATTAACACCAGACGACAGATCAAGCGTAGTGTGGGTGACGGGGTAGAGGAGGAGGGTGTCGATGGCTCGATGGGCGGTTGAACGCGGAACGTACGGTGACTCACGTCTGTTTGGCGCGTAAATATCTAACCCCACCACTGCTACCGGATACCGGCATGTAGTTCATCTGTTACCATTTATTTATCGATAATTAAAGTATACGTACAAACAAACAAGCTTAGTACAATAGGCATGACATTTGATTAACTATTTTATTGCTCACGTTAAAACGATTAATTTCAGGTAGGTGTAAAAGGTGAAGTGGTGGTGGTAGGGGAGGGGCGGATAGGCTAAGGCTGTTGACCTTCCTTGACTTGTGTCTGTACTCTGTTTTGCGCGCAAAAACCATACTACTTTCACTGGCATTGCAGTTGAGTTTATTTACGATTTATTGATATTGAAAGTATACTTTTGAAAAAACAAGCTTAATACAATAATAGAAGTAAAATTAAAAAGGTTCACTATTTCATTGCACACGTTAAAACATTATTTTTTAAATGTTATAACAATATGTTTACCCATTATAGGTTGAAGGGGGGGATATATCCCCCTGATCCCCCCCGTATCTACGCCACTGTCCCGCCTAATTGTTTACTCCTGGGCTCCACCCCTTCCTTGAGCGATCGCCGAATTATGGTGTCTCCCTGAACTCTGACTTAATTATGTACTAAGGGTTCTAAGTGTAAATTGCACATTTTAAAATTATTTTCATTTCATAAGGTGGTTTATGTTTACAGTTGCAGATATCAATTATTTTTTGGTTTTTGTTTAAAATCTGACCTAAGAGTCGGCAGGACTTTCAGCCATCTTTGATTTCCCCCAAAACGGCAATGTTATTAATTGTTGAAGCAAATTACGACATTGTTTATTAAGATAAAAAGTTGCATAATATCTCATTTTTGCAACTCCTCTCTCTCGGAGGGAAGGGAAGCCCATGCTACCAAAATAATCAATAAGGCCCCTATTAAACGAGGTAACCTGGCGACGTCGCCAGCGATAGTAGCTGGCGACGCACTGGCCACCAAACCTAGTAGCCAGTTGAGTAGCTAGAATTTTACAGCCGTTACTCATTTTGTTGTGAGTGTTTGTCTTGTACTTGTACTTGTTATGAGCGGTATGTTTACAGTGAATAATGTTAAGGCCCAATTGATATAATCAACCCTATGCACTTTCATATTATACTGTAAAAAGAAGAAATAGAAACATATGTTAAAAGAACAACAAAAACACAAGAAATAATACAAGAATAATGTTGTAAAATAAAGAATTAAAATATGAAGTGAGTGTTACATTTATGTCTAACAAAAGTGTATTTAAAATCAAATTATCAAAAACATTATGGTCCTTCGAGCCGGATTAATTGTGCACAGCATCTATTGTAAGTCCATTTTTATCAATTTCTACAGTTTGAAGATTACTGTTTTCCACCAAGGAATCAACAGATTCACATTGTGCTGTTTTCCCATCCAGGAATCAACAAGCTACACAATCACAGTCTAAGCTTTGGTATATTGGACCTGAATTTGACCTGAATTTACATCTCTTATTCATTTTTTGTTCTTTTGACCCTTTTCAATTACTTTACCTTGTATGTACAGCCACAATTAGTCCCATTGTTAGACTACAACATTTCAAGCTAGTTTCTTCTAACCCACTTCAGTAAGATGACGGATGAAGTAGTTAAGAAACTTAAAAGCCAACTTGATGCGGTCCAGTTTCGTAGAAATTGTGCTTTAAAGAAAATAGACAAAGTTTATAATCTAGGCTTAAGCTTAGGAATAACCACCGAGTCTGAAGATTGTGAATCCTTTAAAATTCGTAGTGCATCCATTCATGAGTTATTTGAGGAATTTAACACACTCCAATCAGAAATAATTGCTTTGAAAAGTCAATTAGATGAATCAGATTATAGTAAAGTAGAAGAGCTTTCTGATAGTGTTAGTGACAAATATTACTACATTTTAACTATTATGTCAAAGATTGTCCCTCCCGAAATTGAACAAGTACAACCACCTAGTTCTAGAATTGAAACTAACCATTTGCCCGTACAAAGCCAAGCAAAGTGACCTAAAATTAGTTTGCCTACATTTTCTGGCAACTTCAAGGAATGGCCTACCTTTTATGATTTATTTAGACAACTAGTGCATGAAAATAAATCATTGTCAAACATTGAACGGTTCATGTACCTTATTGGCTCATGTACAAATGATGCATTGAGGTTAGCAAAGAATCTCCCCATTACTGATGTCAATTATACCATTACTTGGCAAAGTTTTGTATCTAGATTTCAAAATAAGCGTAAACTTGCTACATTTTACTTGGATGAAATACAAAACATATCTCCAGTAACTTCAAAATCTCCAAAGGCTTTGAGAAACTTCATTGATAACTTATCTGAAAATACATTATGGTCCTTCGAGCCGGATCTATAATGCTAAAACTCGCATAGACACTGGCACACCTTTTTCTCAAAGACCTAAGCTACACAATACATCTAAACATCATACTTGGAATAAAAAAGAAAGTGAATATTTCTACAGAAGCAGAGCAAGTCATCAGTTTCAGTTTAAGCAAATGCAGTAGCTACTTAATCACATAGTTTTGTAAATGTTCCTTATTGAAAAGAAAATGTTTCTTTTGGCGGGCGGTATGTTAAGGCCCAATTGATATAATCCTAATTGATATAATCAACCCTATGCACTTTCATATTATACTGTAAAAAGAAGAAATAGAAACATATGTTAAAAGAACAACTAAAGGATAACACCAATCAAGTTAAATAAACAGAAACATTAACAGAAAATAATAAAAAATCACAAAAACTATGTGAAATTATCAAAACTGAATAATGAGTGATTATAAGTATCTTCTCCTTCTGTTACCGTACTTCTGAAGAAAAGGAGACAAAGGAAGAGAAAAATATACGTTCATCCAATGCTTAGTGCAAGAGAATCGAAAGGGTTATATTACACCCTTTTTGATGAGCTCTGTGCGGACAATACACAATTTTTCAATTATTTTCGTATGTCACAATCCAGTTTCTTCGAGTTGTTAGGTCTCAAAACACACAGCACAACAATGTGCAAGTACCCCCGTGATATGAACTGACGTGATATGGGCTTCAATTATAATTTTAAATCGATGTTTGAATTGCCGTTTATCTTCTTAGGCTTGTTCTTTGCGTAAAATGTAATATAGATAATTGTACTCTTCACATTCACTTAGTGAATTTATTATTTTATTCGTATTAAAAATTTACTGTTCCCTAAAATTACTGCCCTGATTTCAATACAAAAGTGTAGTCTAACTTCTCTATGAACCTCTAAAAATGTAATGTGCTTTTTATAATTGTTGCTTTTATGTCGCAGTTGTCATGCTGCGGTACCAAGAACTACACAGACTGGACCAAGATACTGAAGGATCTGCCAATGACTTGCTGCAGTCCCAAGAAGGGAGCCATTGGTGTGGTCACTTGCACTGTTAACTCTCCCGAGCTGCACAAGACTCCCTGCATCATGGCTCTAGGAGACATTGTCAAAGAGAACGCATCCACCATCGGCGGAACTGGGCTCACAATCGGCTTTATACAGGTGACAACTACCTAAGTTTTGAAACCATTTTCATACAAATAAAACGATGATGTAATAATCGCTTTTAGGCCTACCGGTACTGTAAGTATACGATAAAGTGACATTCGTTCACTCAACCACAACACAGGTTGTATAACTCAACTGAGGATTTGATTATTGAGGCTGTAAATCACTGCCGATGTTGTGCTTCAGTCATACAAGCACATACTACGCACATACTTGTGCAGTCAGTCATACTATGCACAGATCTCAAGCACATGGAAAATAAACCCTTAGGCCTAGACCTAATTTGCTTATGGGAAAAAATCACACCCAAAATTTTAGAAATTTATTTGAAATAAATAATATTTTTACAATTTGAACTACAGTAAAACCTCTTTAATCCGAACCCCCGTAATCCAAATGTCCACTAATCCGAACGCCTTATTGCTGTACTCTAAACACAGTACAGTACTTCTTTGTTGTATACTGTATTTAATGTACAGTACTGTTTACTACTGTGGGCTATTAAATAAACACAGTATTTTATTTTTAAAAGCATTTGTTCACTTTTCCCTTAACAATTATGATCCATTTTAGCCACGCTTAAGCTATTGTTATGTAAAAACAACAATATGTTCTGTAATCCAAACTTTTCAATAGTCCGAACTACCCCCGGTTCGGATTAAAGAGGTTCTACTGTATCTCTTGCTTCTGGATTTAAAAGGCACATGATGTACACATGTGTACCTATCAAAACCTTGCAGCTCCCTTTTGTGGATTTGTTCTTGTGGCCAGGCAGATATTTTTCATGATTAAAACATGGGTACTTTCCTGTTAAAGGGAACATTCATTATTATCGCTGATTTATTTTCGATATATCGATATTTTTGTTTTACTTCACGATTGGTATTCCTTCTGTCTTAATATCTTCAAACGCATTTAAATTACAAATTAGGAACTAACCTTGTCTAGGCAAAAAAAATAGCCTATATATTGGATTAGGACATGGAACTATTCTAAACTAACCTAACATAACTAACCAAACTTGCTGTATAGGCTAAGTTACCGTTTCAAAATTCCATTTGATAACAGAAGAGAAAATGCATATGGGGAATAGGCTATCAACCAGATTTTTGAAATGTTACAGCAAGTTTGGTTGGTAAGGTTGGTTTAGAACAGTTTCATTTTAATATAGGCTAATATTTTTTTTAATGTTTGTTGATACTGAACAATATTTATTTACTGTATCCTATATCGTACTTGTCAGCTGATATGTTTCAATTTGTTACTATCAATATATCGGATGGAAAACAAAACTATCGATATATCGAAAATAAATCATCGATAATAATGAATGTTCCCTTTAACAGGAAAGTACCAAAACATGTGCTGAAAGGAAGGCGTTATCTGTCTGTATGATCCAATAGTCTAATCAATAACATTAAGTTTAACGAATACCTAGGTTTGCTGCTACAGGGAGGGTAAAAAATGTGTTGGGTAAAATATTGATAGCTTAGTATAAAATAAATACATTTGCCAAGTTTGATCAAAATATATCCTTAAACAAGCAAACTACAACAGTTTACTCCATAAGAATAACTTTTAAATTTAAGTTTTTTTGAATTTTCTCCTTATAACCAATAACCGTACAAAAATACTTGAAGGTAGGGCCTACTAAATTATTTGTTTATTAAGCTCCTCAAAATGGGTTAGAGATAAATTGGGAAATTATATGTTTTTTTTTTTTAATAAAGAAAGAAAATATAATAGATTAATAGTTGTTAACTTTATTGAGCGGAGCGAGCGAAGCTCTTTGAGATCGGACCTTATGCAAACTATGTAATCAATTAACTCAATAACGGCTGAACATATTGAATCGAAACTTACCAGGGGTATTTCGAGAAATATTTTTGATGTTTCGAAACAAACAAATTTCAATTTGATAATACCTGTACACTTTTAGATTGACATACAATTTGCAATGTTTAACATGAGTATTATGGGTTGCCATGATGGTTACGGGATAACAACGTAGATGTAAACAAAGAATCGTAGCGTAGGCGACTCGACATTGTGTACCCACGGGCACCTCAGCTTGCACATGCACATATGGCCTATTTACAAAAGACAGTACAAAAGAAAAGGAGTCCGATGAATACCATCAAGCGTTGATTAATAATACATTGATTCGCATAATTTCTGGCGGCCTTACTGAACTATTCCAAGCAGATTATTTCTTTTGATTGTTGTTATTGCTATTAGTTTTGTGGTAAATATTAGTTTATAAACAGTGAAAGATAGTATTCATATTGAAAATTATAGAAACTGTATTTCTGAAGCAGGAATTCAGTATTTTCAACTATTATTAACGGTAGCCTATCCTATATAAATACAGTGATTTGCTAGGCTTGCACACTAAAGTCCAGTTGCGACTAATTACCTAGGCTTTTATAGAAGTCCACTTTAACTAAGGTGTTTAAATAATAGGTTAGTATTGTACAGTTACGATTACGATGCGTAGGTCTAATGCCTAGACTGCTAGGCCTATACAGAAGTTCAGTTATAGATATTTATTATAATTAAATATTTATCTAAACTTGTTTAAGAGTCCAATTTATAACTTAAGTGTGGAAATAATTTTCTCTGTACAGAAATACAGACACAGTTACTTATACATGCCAATGTTGTAAATATATGTTCAGTATTTATGTCTGTTTGTTTAAATGTATATAAATTCTTTATTTGAAAGTCTGACGCCATCAATCCCTTTTGGGTAAAAGATGAAGATACGGTAAAAAGGTAATAATTACGAAAAGTAGAGCCTAGACTGCTTGGCATGTACGGGAGTCCAGTTATAAAATAAGCGTGATATAATATTCCTAATTTTTCCGTAATACTGTATGATGAATTATTACAGCTAACAGAACAGCATGTTGGCATTTTTATGTCGGGTTGAAAATTTACTACAACCCAATAGACATTATGCATCAACAGTGACATTTACATCAACACAGTGAGGGTTCAACCAACGATATAAAGTGTTGTATATCGTTGGGTTCAACAACTCAAATTGAATTGCCATAGCCTAATATAAAAACGTCTTTTATATTTGAGTTTAATAATTTTGTTGTACAGTAGTGTATTATGCATATACAGTATTTTACTTAATCATGCTGTAATTTAGCACGATGAATAAATATATTCTCGTTTAATGCATCAATTCTCTATCCAGTGCCGTCTTTAAAATCTAATCTATTTATTGAGTACAGTAGGCCCATTTTGCCAACAGCCGGGACTAGCGCAAACGTCACCAATAGCGTCGCGGCAACCACCATCTTTTTCAGGGTATCATCGGCTCGTGAAATTGGCCACGCCTTACTTTCTGTGGTGACCTTTGACTATGGTATTGCTATATATAGTCACCTTCTTCTGTCATTCTGTTCGCTGAGCAAAGTACACTAATTGGCTAAATGTTTTAGTTGGAAAAAATAAGAAGGTAGCCTATAGGCCTATTACATAAATGGGAGCTAAACAAACTAACTTGTTTAAATAAACTGCAATGTTTTAAGCTTATTAGGATACTGACAAAATAATACTTATCTTTATGCTATTACAAACACCCAGTTTTACCATTACTCATATATAAAAGTAAAAATCAATGACCTAATAGAAACAGCTGACTGGATTCATATTTCCTTCAACTCTTCCAACCAACCACGAGAATTCAATTGGATTGTTGCTATGGTGACGTCATCATGTGTTCAATTTGAATCATGACAACAAATTAAAGTTATTTGTTTATTTCAATGCTTGCTTACTCCGCTCAATTGGCTGACCTATTAATCCAACTGTGGGGAACATCCAGTATGTCGAACATAAACATCATCCAACGATTTCAGTCAAAAGTTTTAAGGTTCATCCTGCAAGCCCCGTGGTATGTTAATAACAATATCCTTCACAAGGACTGTGGAATTCCTACGGTTGAAGAGGAAATAACCAAATTTAGTGCAAAATATCTAAAGAAACTTGAAAATCACCCTAATCACCTATCTCTAAACCTCTTGGACAACAGTACCAGTATATACAGGCTCAAAAGGATTCATGTTTTGGACCTAAGCTCACGTTTTGTTTGAACAATTTAATTTTCCCTTGTTTATTTAGTTATTTATTTGTTCATTGAAATATTTTTAAGGTAGCTCTGTCAATGGACAGAGATTAACTAACGTTTTATTAATAGTTGTTATTATATTTGCTAAATGTTCTAAAAATGAACAGATTGTAAATAAAATTGTGATAAAAAATACCTCCGCCGCAGCAAACCTGTCGACTAAGCGAATTTCCATTTGTCTGAATTGAGTTTCAATTAAATATCTTTTAATAACATTAGGTTTAACGAGTACCTAGGTTTGCTGCTACAAGGAAACTAATAACGTGTGATTTTTAGTAAAATATTGATAGCTTAGTACAAAATAAATAAATTTGCCAAGTTTGATCAAAATATATCCATAAACAAGCAAACTACAACATTTGACAATATTTTCTCCATAAAAATAACATGGGAATTTTAAATTTACAATTTTTTTTAATTTTCTCCGTTACTAATAACAGAACAAAAATACTTTTACATACTAAATTATTTGTTTTTTTAAGCTCTTTAAAAGGGTCTAAAGAGAAATTGGGAAATTTTGTGTTTTGAGGGTCAAAAGTGAGAAAATCAATTTTTATCCCATAAAACCCCCCGTAAAGCCCAGTTCCCATGGTCCAATCGTGCTGGTTCGCGAAGTAATTCAAGTTTATCCCGCTTTACACCTTTAAACCAAATTTCATCAAAATCGGACAAAAATTACTCAAGTTATCGCGTTCACGGACGTATATATATATAAATCTATATATATATACATATATAAAAATTTGAATTTGTGTTTTTGGCCTCTGGGGACATCAAAATGAAAAAGTAAATCGGTCCCGGGTCTAGGTCTTACCGTGCCACCTACGGTAATAGCTACTTCCCTAGGGTGAGGTTCATAACTCCAAGTTTTCATAACTCCAAGTACTTTTAAATACAACATTTCATAACTCCAAGTAAAGTTATGTCCAAGTAAATTAAAACCAAAATATCATAAGACCAAGTTTCATAACTCCAAGCGTTCATAACTCCAATATTCATAAGTCCAAGTTAAAATAAAACCAAGTAAATTAAAATAGAAAATTTCATAACTCCAAATGTACAGATTTGCAAGGACCACAAGTCCAAGTTTCATAACTCCAAGGGTTCATAACACCAAGTTTCATAACTCCAAGTGACAATGGGTACAGTCCGTGCAGGAAACGATAACGTACGCACACACACGCACCCATTACACACACACATGCTGGAAGAGAGTTTCCGATGTTGGCGAGACTATTCGAAGTGGTGCGTTCCCTGTCGCTTTGCACGTTCGTCTAAATTGTAATACAAATAGTGAGAGGATGAAATTTACATATTTAAATTCAGCGTAAACTGATGTTTAATACTATATAAATACAATTTAGTTCGTGCAGATGATTAATGTTTAATAATGGAAAATATGAAAAGGTTGTTCAATGTAAACATGAAAAAGTAAGTGAGCGAGGATTCTTTTTATTTTTTGGTCAGATGAAAACTTTCAGCGAGAAAAGTATAGATAATAAGATGTTCTTCAATTTTTGTTGCTAACATTTTTTCGTAAGACTTTTAGTTTGTCCAATAATCGACTTAGATGACCACCACGAGGTATGAATGAATTAGTTTACGCGCACGGTATTTTAGCAATTGCCGTCTTCCAACAACAATATTAAGGAAATACAGTATTAGTTCACGTTTTAAAATTTCTAAACTATGAAAAATATTTAGTCTTAACTTCTTCAGCTGTATGTACGAAATTTCAAAATTTTTTCTACATAATATTCGTGGTGCACAACTCAAATAAGTCGTAGTGCCTTTTTTTCCACTATTTTTCATCTCCTATTTTTCGGAAAAAATTTACACAGGATTAATCCAGGTTAAGGTTTCATCTTGTAGCATTCATTTGTAAATATAAAATTTGATTATAGTTACAATTACTTGTTCCCTCATAAATCTTTATTCCGTAACAAATATGAGAGTGTATGTTAGCAAAGTAAATTGTACGCAAAATGTCTGTAGTGCATAATGGGTTTAATAAAAAAAATACCATATTTAAAACTTTAAAAATACTATCTAGATTTGTATGATCCAAACAAGCGGATATAATCTATAGATAGGTCTAAACATTTGGATTTCGAGACTAAATTATCATAGAAATATGTTTTTGAGTAAATACATCTATACTTAATACCAGATTGTTTTATTTGAGTTAAATAGAAGGTATTTATCATTTAGGTATTATTTAAGTACCTTAATGAGTTAAGTACTTTAATATAAGAATTGATGTCATTCAGTGGTCAAAACTCGACCACAATCCAAATAAAATATGAACTTATCTATATTTATCCCACGCTGAAAATCAAACATGTGATGATTGTGTACCAGTCTTAAATTTGTTTTGATTTTCTGTATATTTATCGTTGTTATTGCGTCACCAGAATTTTAACTCATAATCCAAATGTTAGTTTTTTGTTTATGTTAAATTCGTTTTCGTACTTATTTTTCATCATTTTTTTAATTTATTAAGTTGTTCTGGTTATCTACAGGAAAATATGTTTCTAACAGTATGCGTAGATTTTCCTTGCGATGCTCACGAGCTGAGAAAAGGGCCTTAAAGAAACATATTTGCTAATAATATATAGATATAGCTAATACTTGTCATACCAATAAGAAGAATAAATAAGCAGACACAAGAAGGATCTTATTTAAGAAACATAATTTAATGTAGGCTATTCTAATAGCCAGTGAAATTTATTTTTGTAAACTTCACAAGAGAGATAATAGTAATAATAATCGAAAGTATATAGTAAAATTAGTGGGATTCTGTTAACTGCCGCAAACATTTTATCAGTACTGTTCACCTTCATACTGTAGTACTGGCTCATCCCTTGCTTTGCTGGATACGTTACACGCACAGATCTGTAGTCTTATGTGGACGGGCAAATGTTAAAAATTTTTAACAGAGACCACACACCTCTTTGTTTCCCTAGTTGGAACACATAATTCTTCATCCAAACTCTATAGTTCTTGAGAGTCACTTAATTGTATACACAACATATGTGAGCAATATCAGTTGTGTGTTTTTAGCTAATTTCCCATATAGGGAATAAGCTATTACCGTAGTGCTCATGTAAGACCTGGACCCGGCAGGGCTAGTGGACCCGGACCGAATTAATTTTCGTTTTGAGAGCCCTAGAGGCCAAAAACACCATTCGTTCCTTTTTTGTTACATTTTTTAGACAAATTAAAATATGATATTATGGAGCTATTTATGTTGCAAGCGCTAATAAGTGGATGATACTTAAATAATTTGTAGAGAACGGATTGTCCAATTAATTTGTTTGTGGTGTCAAACCATATGTTTATGGGAGTAAGGAATCTGTTACCAATAATAATTAGTGTACATTTTGCTCGAATTCGAGCAATTGCAAGGTACTGGTATTACAGAAAGAAAGCTTAAGCATAGTGTCAGCTTAGAAGTTCTTCGGATGACATATTTTGGTCTCTTCCACTCACAAATTAGCTATGGAATTCGTTTGTGGGGAAACTCTGCTGCCTCCAACAAAATATTCACTTGGCAAAAAAAAGCTATCAGGACTATTATGGGTCTTACTAAACTTGAATCTTGTAAACCTAGTTTTATTCAGCTCAATATTTTAACTTTGCCATCACTGTATATTTTTTCCAACCTTGTGTATGTAAAAGAAAATTTAGTTAACTTTCCCATGCAGCACAGCAATCATCATCACAACACTAGAACTAAGCACAATATTGTTACACCTTATATTAGATTAAGTAAAACCTTCAAAAGTTACCATTATCATCAGTATCTATTGTTCAATAAGTTACCATTAGAAATTAGAACTCTGTCTGTAAACAATTTTAAATCGTATGTAATGACATTCTTAAAAACAAATGCCTTTTACACTGTAGAAGATTTTTTAAACTTGTAAGTTAAGCCATCAATGTCATGTGGATAAAGTAGTATCTAAGTTGAAACACTCAAAAATGCTACATACAACCCTATTTGTTGTACTGTTTGACGTTGCCTATTACTGTACTAAGTTTAATGGCATTAATAAATTCTTATTGAGTCTTATTGAGTCTTATAAATACAAGGACAAAACATACATGAGACGCTGTTTCCAAAGACCTATCACAAAGTTCTGGTTTCTCATGAACCAAACTAATAAGTAAATCCATATCAACATCTACCATGATGATATAGAAAACTAAACGGACTAAAAATAAAAACTAAATTAACTAAATAGCAAAACAAAACTAAATACACCACTTGGACACTGCATTAAAATCATAAACAACCACCACTCTCGAGGGTTGAACCACGACTGAGGAGTGGGGGCAGTGGCAGTCCGGCTGTTTCGCCGGTAAGTGTGTTCATCTCCATAAAGCACAATGCCCCGCTACCCACTGCTCCGGCGAAACCGCCGATCCGGCGGTCCAGCGAGGTAGAGAATATCCGGCGGTTTCGCCGGATCGGCAGATTCGCCGAACCAGAGAAGTGTGGCCTGCCCCATGCCTTCCTGTGTATCTCAACTTGCTCCAGCGCCGCCGGATCCAGCGTCCGGCGGTTTCGCCGGTAAGTGTGTCCCTGGCCAAAGTATGGATGTTCTACTTTAATGTTGATTTTACTAAGAACTTTTTCAAACTACTGCATTCCGCTTTACAATATTTTAGGAATCTTAAAAAAATAATTTGTTAAGGAATGTACTAGGTACGTTTTTTAAGTAAGGGCCGTTTTTAAATTTCTTCGTTCCAGCACTGCGATTGGCATTTTCGACATTTGCTCCGTGTATGTGCATCTATTGGTAAGACATAGCCGGAAATTCGAGAAAAATCGGCCGTGTTTACATCCGGTTTCGAGCATTCAAAATGGTGCCGCCAATTGAGACTGCCCACGACTGTGAAGTGCACGCTGTAATTAGATTTTTAAGAGCTTAAGGTGTGAAAGCCATTAAAAATCATCGACAGATTAGTGAAGTGTATGGCAAGAACATTATGAGTGTCATAATTGTATGCAAGTGGATATGGGAATTGAAATACGGTACCACGAACGTTCATGATGAGTAACGCACTGGGCGGCGTCATTACTGTCCCCGTACCCAGTGCGTTGCTCATCATGAACGTTGGTGGGGCCGTCTTAAAATGTCCTTACCTACTTGCGTACCATTCCGTCACTCATAATGTTCTCGCCATACACCTCACTAATCTGTCGATGATATTCAATAGCTTTCACACCTTTAGCTCTTAAAAATCTAATTACAGCGCTCACTTCACAGTCGGCGGCAGCCTCAATTGGCGGCACCATTTTGAATGCTCGAAACCGGATGTAAACACAGCCGATTGTTGTCGAATTTCCGGCTATGTCTTACCAATAGATGCACATACACAGCGCAAATGTCGAAAATGCCAATCGCAGTGCTGGAACGAAGAAATTTAAAAACGGCCCTTACTTAAAAAACGTACCTAGTAGAATTGCAAAAAGTTTAATAAAACGTTTTTGTGGGAGTATTGTTGTGTCTTCTAGAAAATAAAGTAGTCCACAACATGATAATATTAACAAGTAATCCTTATTTTCACAGCTCCTGGGAGTGTTCATATCCTGTTATCTTGCCTACTCCATCCGAAACGACTATGAATCTGTCTAGCTTGCTTGTTCTACAGGAAAATCAGCATAACTCCAACCGTTGACATTCTTCTAGGAAATATTTTTGAAATACCATATCAGCGCTGTGTGGTGCGTGCTGTTTTAATCAATTCATTAAATGTCCAGATAGATTAACTATAGGTTTTGTTTTAGTAAGAAGATAACTTTTCCTGAGCACAAATAAAGACATTTCGGTTTTTGTTTTACTGGTATTAGTAGGCTTGTTGTTGAATGAACATCAAGTAAAATTATGGATAAAATTAAGGGTCTTGTGAAAATGTTGCCTTTGAGCTGATTGGAGTATTTTGGTCTTTAATTAAATTTTTACATAAACTAAGAGACTGAGATTCACATAATTTTAGTCAATAAATGCTCTTTCAAATAAAAATATCATTTTACAGTATAGATTCTTTGTCCTAGATAATATTAGTTGATATCACATTTGATGTAGTTTTACTATTGCTCTGATGGATATGTTTGTTTGAAAAAACAATTATAGCGTAGCAGAAAATCCGTGTTCTATTTCACCACTGCAGTTGTTGTTGTGGACAAATTAATAACCTGGTAGTTGGTTAGTTAACTAATATTATTTTTAAGACATATCTTTTTACTTATATCGTATGGTTCCTGAAGCTTGAGAGACTTAAAAATATATTTTTGAATATTGATATTGCATGACTTCTATTCTATACATTAATTTAGTCACATTTTAGTAACCACACCGTAGCTAATTTGATTTGTTATAATCTTTAACATGAATTTATGATCTTTTTAAATAGTATATCAATGTTGAATGTAAAAATATTTTAAATCATTGTATAATTGAATAGGTTAAATGCTGTCAGACACACTGAGTATGGTTCTTCTTGCCCAAGACATCCAATCACTACTTATGTGTTAGGTCAATATTTTAGCTAGATGCTTTCAGATACACAACCATACATATAATCTAGTTCACCCGAGGAAACATTAAATATTATTTTATCACAAATACTAGAAAAGACCCGGTATGGATCATAAACATAAACAAATGACGTTTTTGGCCCGAAAGTAAACAAAACCCCTATACTAATAGCATTAATTAACATATGGTTTTGTTTACTTTCGGGCCAAAAACGTCATTTGTTTATGTTTATGATCCATACCGGTATTTTTCTAGTATTTGTGTTATTTTATAATATAGCTTTTATGTATTATATTTGCATAAAATGTGAAGTGCCTTATTAAATGTTTAGAAAAAGAATGTTGATGTTTTGTCATGTTACATTATAACTAAAATGATATTATTGTATGTTATTATACTAGTGTTATTATATATTGTAAAAATATTTTGCTAGTTAATTTTAAAGGGTTTATAATATTAGACGTGTTTTTACTCAAATAAAATACTTTAAAAGTTAACCTTATTTTATATTTACCAAAACCTCATACTCTCTTTCTTCATAAAGTTCTTGTTTTGCATGGTCCAACATACAAACCATCAAAATGTAAACAAGTTTTTTTTATTACAAGCAGATGATTTGCATGATTGTAGGAGAAAGTAAAGTAGCCTACCTTTGATAATTCCACTGATTATCATCTAAAGTTATGAGTGACGAGTGGCATAGTATAGTTATTTGCAAATGTCTATAGAAAGGAAGATCAAAATTATAAATTTTTCTAGGGATGAATCTAAAAACTCTATTTTTTCCTTTTAATGAAACACATATTATCAAGCCACAAATGCTATATAGGTGCTACCAATTCAGGAAAGCAGTAGAACTGTACCAAAGTAGTAATTTACATTGGATAGCAACGGATAACTAAGTATGGCTTCTGAAATGATTTTTGTGCCAATGTAGAATTAGTTTAGAGATTAATTGGTTTTTTGAAAGAAGAGATGTTATATATGTTAATTCCGCTCCGATAAATGACTGGAAGAAGCATGCTCAATATGAGGGATTCAACTGTACCCGTTAAGTGTCTTAAGTTACCGTAGTGAGAGTTGCCAGTAGAGCAACAATTTACAAATACAGTACCCCATATTCATATAATGCATAATGCTGCCAGTGTTACACTTTTAAGCAAACTATACAAGCCAGTTTGTAAATAAACTAACGTAAAACACATTTACTGTTTTATACGGCATTATTTCAGTTTGTTTTGTCTACACTCAGCATTTACCCGAATACCTTGATCAGAAGGGACTATCAAACACTCAATTCTAGTGAATCATTTAGAACAAATTCATATCAGTTTGTTGATTCAGTACCAACTGTATCTTATCCTGTATTGTGATAAGATTAATTAAGTAAGTTTACACAGATTAATCCTATTAATAAGACTCTATGTTACTTGTACTATTAGGAGTGGCAGGTAATTCTATTTCTATGTTAATCAACCACACTTGCTCAACTTCTTTTGCTTTTGCATTCTTTGAGGAAAATAATTTCCTGTAGCTTATAATATTAAGTACTGTACGGTATTCCATTTTACGTTTAAACTTTGCCAAATGTGAAAGACCTTTAGATTCTGTAGGTACTTTAGAAAGCTAACACACCTGGGTGCAAAGTTAAAGGGAAGGTGAGTGTTCAATGAATGATTTAATACAGGCTCTATGTCAAAGGGGGGGGGGGGGATTGGCTAGGGGAACTTTGCCACCTTTTAAATCTTGAGGAAGTCTAGTCTGACTACTTCTCCAAAATAAAATAAAATGTATTCTTGATGGTTCACAATGAAAAGTTGTAAATATTTATATTGTTAGTCCATATATTACCAAAAGAACAAAGATCTATTCACAAACCATCGATATTTATCTTTCTTATTATATATTTACTACTGATTCTACTTTACTACTTGTGGTACTACAGATAACAACATTTGTTTATTCCACAAGCGATGGTAAAAATGAAAAATTTCTAATATTGAAACCGAAACTTAAAAAAATTGAATCTCAAAACCCAAACACAAAGCATTTTTAGTTAAAAGTTTAGTAAAAAATAAAATACAGGCACATAATAATAAAATGTTTGTTATGCAATCAAGAGTGAAAGAGATTACTTCAACACACACACAAACAACACAATAGTTCAAATAAAAACAGTAAACATTAAAATAAATTAAACTCCTGACTCTAACACTAACATGAATCTTAGAATTATTATAACACTAGCAGAGTACCCGTACTTCGTACGGGGTTGGCATATGAGTATAAAATGCTTATTGCGGTTATACTCGAGCTTTGCGTTTGCAATGGGGGAGGCCACAGTTAAGCCATAATGTTCTACCACTTCACCTAAACAATAGAGAAAAATAAATTAATTCGCAAAATATCACAAATTATTCATGAAATTACAAACAAAAACATAACTGTAAACAATCCTACTTTGACAGTTCTCATAGCGTATAACAGTTTTTGTTGCTGCTTAGTTCAAAGTAGCTGTTTTCATAAATGCAAAAAAAATAATAGTGCTTCACCCTGGTGGTAAATCTTATAACTTTTAAATGCTTTTTCATATCATAGAACCAACTTTTTTAGTTGAAACAGCTGACTAAATTCTTTAATTCCCTTTAAATGTGATTACTCATAAGGTTAACATGGGGAACTACAGAGCCACTGGGGCGGAGCCCGAAAGGATTCTTGAGATAAGAATATACCTATATGTTAATCGGGAATGTGAGGTATCATCATGCCAAATTTCAGCCCAATCCGTCCAGTAGATAATGCGTGATTGAACTTCAAACAAACAAATAAACAAACAAACTTTCACATGTAAGATGTGTATTAGTAAGATTTAGTGGTCAATTTTTGTTTGAGTTTAGTAAATATTGATACAAAACTATTGTACGGTAGGTTATTCCAGTAGTAGTATACTGTATATATGAGAATCAATGAAACCACTGTAATAAGCATATTAAACCATTTATAGCTTGAAAATAGCCTTATTCAGTGGATAGTGAAACCACTGCTTGAAACATCATATTTACTTTACTTTAGTATTAAAGAATACCTTTTGCAGGTCAGAATTTAATTTGCCCTTTTCATTAGTGTTCATGGAATGATGGGTGATCTGTTTGCTCCATTTCTGCTAGTTTGTGTGTAAACAGTGTTATAAACGATAATAATGACGCCAAAAAATTTCAGCAGTTTCAAAACAAAGCTGTACAAATCTTCAATTCCAAAACTGTCAGAACTTGCCGATCGAATCTCAAAACCGAAACTTTTCCAAAGCTTTGATGGTTTTGAGATTTGGTATTCAGTTTTGACACATCAATATTTTCCACCAATTAAAATAAAATGTGTTTTAGGCTTTTTAGCCTTAACTAAACAAAATTATCGAATTATACTGGAAATAGCTTGATGGGATTTTGTATTATATTCTGTAGTTTTATAATATACATAAAATCCCAAAGTGGTATGAAATGAAACCTTAAGGTAAACAATTTAGGTCTCACCTGGAAATTATAAATTTGTTGTTTTATCTAACACTTCTAATTAATGCTTGACAAATTATCTATATAAACACAAAAGCAAAATTCTTTCAGCCTCTGCTGGCTACCAGACAATTTTCATTTTCTTATTGAATGTGACACCAAAGCCCAGTTTACAGCCAGAAATTGCCAATGAACACCTGTAGCCTGTAGATAAGCTGTTATCACTAGCGCAGTGAAGGTCACCCAGTGTGAGTGTTGTGTGTAGGCAAGCTCTGTTGCACTTGGAGCTTATGTCAATCTCTCACCATGTTGCTGGACATGGAACCTAACGCTGGGATGGTCTGCATCAAGTACATCCTGGTCATCTTCAACTTTTTGTTTGTGGTGAGTAAACATATATGCAAGCTTGTCTATGATTTCTAGTTGATCTCAAAGTCCACCAAACACACCTGTCACTTTTCTTTCACAATTCATTTTAAGATAAATTTGAATACCGAGTGAATAAAATCAATATAGAAACATTTTACTCATTTCTTACTCAGTTAAAATGTCCTAATTAAAGGAAAATTCAGTTGCAATCAACAGATTCACTACTTAAAGAAAACTCCCACTAGATAACAAGGGAACTTTGAAAGCCAATAAATAGGGCGATGCCCTTGAGGTGCATATTTTCTAACCACTGAAAGGAATATTTTAAGGTGGAAAAAATTGTATGGAATCAAATATGGCAAGTCAATAACTGACAAATATGAACGATTAATTGAATAGCAGAATAGAAAACATTCTGGGATCTTATGTCCAGCAATGAAACTTTTTTAATATACACGATTCAGTGAATTATACCACAAAAAAGAAATACCCCCGCCGCAGCAAACCTGCCGTCTAAGCGAATTTCCATTTGGCCGAATTGATTTTCAATTGATCTATTTAAATAACATTAGGTTTAACAAGTACCTAGGTTTGCTGCTACAAGGAAACTAATAAAGTAGTGTGTTTTTAGTAAAATATTGATAGCTTACTATAAAATAAATAAATTTACCAAGTTTGATCAAAATATATCCATAAACAAGCAAACTACAACATTTTACAATATTCTCCATAAGAATAACATGGGAATTTTAAATTTACAATTTTTTTAGTTTTCTCTGTAACCAATAACCGTACAAAAACACTTTGATATACTGAATTGTTTGTTTTTTTAAGCTCTTTAAGACGGTTTAGAGAAAAATTGGGAAATTTTGTGTTTTGAGGGTAAAAAGTGAGAAAAACCAATTTTTACCCCATAAAACCCCCCATAAAACCCTGTTCCCATGGTCCGATCATGCTGGATCGCGAACTCATTCAAGTTTATCCCGCCTTACACCTTCAAACCAAATTTCATCAAAATCGGATAAAAATTACTCAAGTTATCGTGTTCACGGACACATATATATATATATAAATCTATATATATATATAAATCTATATATATATATAAATCTCTATATATATATATATATATATACATATATAAAAATTTGAACGAATGGTGTTTTTGGCCTCTGGGGACATTAAAATGAAAAAGTAAATCGGTCCCGGGCCTAAGTCTTACCATGAGACCTACGGTAATAGCTACTTCCCTATAGGGAAATTCGCTAATAGCTACTTCCCTATAGGGAAATTCGCTAAAACACACCTAATATATTAGTATGAATTATTTAACTTGTTAATAAAAAACTAAAAATGAAAATATCATAAAAAATATATCTGTAAATGAAACAATTGTAAATGTTGCAGAGCAGGCAATTTTTGCAAAACAATTGTTTTTTTTTGTCTGAAAACGCCAACATGGCTTATAAAATAAATGTACAATCATGGAAACAACTCCTTCTAAATACTTAAGAAGAAATTTATTACATAGTCAAATTTTGTCTCTTGTTTTAACTAAAACCATAATCTTATCTAATATGTTTGAAAAATATACAAAACTATCACATATTACCATAGACAAATAGAATTAATATAGACTGTCAAAGGAAGGTTCCGCGATATGCCGTTCGGTTTTTGATTCGCTGCTGTCGTCGGCTACTCGCCATATGCCACCAGCAGACACTGCAGCGGTTTAGCCCCGTTCACACGGGGCGAGTTTACAAGCTACAAGCCGGATTTTTTACACCCAGCTAGTAAAATAGCTCAGTGTGAACAACTTACTCGCTCAAAAGCTGCTTGTAAAAAAAATTTGGAAAAAGTTGACGCTGCCGCTACTTTATTTGCCAACTCGCCAGCTTTTGAGCGAGTAGGCGTGTAAAGTAGTCCAGTGTGACACACAGTTGCTTGTGCGCATGTTATTCAAAAATGGCGGAGGATTTAGTTCAAGCCAGCTACTGAGCGAGTGGAAAAAGCATCGTGTGAACGACTACAAGCCCAATCGCCGGCGTCTTTCTACATGTCGGCGAGTTGGCAAGTGGACAAGCTCCGTGTGAACGAATACAAGCGCACTCGCCAACTCACCGGCTTCTTACACGCCGGTGAGTAGCTTGTAAACTCGCCCCGTGTGAACGAGGCTTTTGCGCCGTAACTACATGGCAAACCTAGCGGCTGGCGCCAGAACTTATGCTAAACACAGCACAGCTATATTTATCTATTATAGACGGTCTATATTTATTCTATTTGTCTATGATATTACATAGTGCACATAGTGTTAACACGTGTTTTTCCTCTGAGCTAAAAAATAATAAGTCATTGTATGAAACATCTCTGAAAGGAAATAAATTTTTATTGGTCACTCCAGTTATTATTAGACCACCTTTTTGAAAAATTCTTGTAATCGGAATTCCCTAATAATATTTAAAGACAGACTTACTGTGCGTCCCTTATACAGTACTTTCATTTAATATGTCCCTTAGCGGACAAAATAATGATCTGATTTTGACGAGATTTGGTAAATCGTGTAAACCTAAGTTTATTCTAATGAGCGACAGCATGATTGGACTATGGGAACGGAGGTTTATCCATTGGGTAAAAATATTTTTTCCATTTTTTACCCTATAAAAACACTAAAACTAAAATTTTTCAATTTCTGTGCGAACAATTTTGCTGAGATTAAAAACAAATAGGTAAATAATTAATACAATGAAGCGTTGTTATGCGCTTAATAATTAAAGAGATAATTCCAAAAAACAGTAAGTTTAAAATTTCCATTTTATTCTTAAGGAAAATAAAATAAGTAGACTGAAGTAGTTTGCTTGTTTATTAACGTACTAGCAGTTACCCGATGCGCGTTGCTGCGCTTAACAACCATTATTTTAAATGGTAATTTGTTCTTTACGATGAATAATAAAAGTATATACCAAAAATAAAAATAGAATACCTATTTTACTTAATTGTCAGTGGATAGACAATGTTTTTTGTTTTTTCATTAGGTGTATAAATATATAATTTTTAGGCGTACCTACCACCACGTGAGCACGCAACATACAGCTGTCCGTGTTAAAAGCATGCATTTTCTAAATTTAAACCGACAATAGTCAGGGATTGCCCTGGTGCCTTATAATGGTGATTGCCAAAGCAAGACACAAAAAGGAAATTGTAGTTGCTTAAATTCAGAGGGTAATTCGGATGAAATCGATTTCTTGGGATTAAGGCTATTTCTCCTTTAAACTTACCACTGATAATTTTTGCTTCAATCAATTTTGGTGTCATTTTTTTATCGTCAGTCTGGTAACGTTGCACAGGTTCGGTGGATTTAAGTGACGCGTTACGCATTAGTATTATTGGAGTTTTTTCTTTTAATGACAGTAATGTGGTGGGTTAAGGACAAATTGAGAGGCATTTGAATACCCAAGATAGCACGCACGATTATTATTCACTTAATAATTTATGTTAGATTGTGTGGGTAGATAACAAAAGATAAAAACCTTTGTACTCGTTAAGCTGATGTTATTTCAATAGGGAAATAGGCCTACATCTTACATTTTCAAGGAAATATTTTACTAAAAGTATACCGGTAATCAGACAAATAGAAATCCACTTAGTCTGCAGGTTTGCTGCTGCGGGGGTATTATTTGATTGATAATACAGTAGCATATAATAGCTCTGTCTATACATTTTAATAGGGCGAAGTGAAAAACTAAGCCTTGCAAATAATATGAAGTAGCTATGAGCGTTCAGTTATTGAGAGCAATATGAATATTCATCAGCTGATAGAGAAGCTACAAAAATAGCCTTGAAGCAAAACCTTACGTGACCTTCATCATGCCTGAAGCTGGTATGATAATGAGTCAAGGATTTTGTTAATCTTCCTTCATTTGTATTTCCATCTGAACAAATATAGTTGCCTTGGGTTATTCTAAAGTAACAGTAAAGTGCCATACTATCATTAAAACCAAAACCTCGACAGACAGCTGAATAAAGGATTATATATCCACCTAGCTACCTGTACTTCTCATAAAAGATCAAATTCATGAAATAATCCTCAACCACCATATAATTTATTTACCATTTAACTCTATCACACACACACGCACACATAGCTAAGAATAAAAACTAAATAAATCAACAGAGAATATTTTTCTAACGTAAACATAACATATATGCACTTACAAATAATTTTGAGACTAATAAAAAATAAATAGGGAAGGTGTTGTTTGTACCTTGGGAAATTTTCTGTTTCATAAATTTTCCACCACCTATTTTGTTTTTTTTTTACTGTTTCTAGTATACTTTACTTAAACCTTATTGCTTAAGAAACACATTTATATTTTTAGGTGCAAAAAAGTGTTGTTTTTATTTTGAGATATATTTGAAAAATTGTCCTGCAAATAACCCAAGGTACAAAATAGGGTGTTACCTTGGGCCAAGGTACATTTATACCTTGGGAGAGTAGCATATGAAAGAAAGCCAATTCATGTATAAATAAAAAAAAATGCAAATATTGCAAAGAAGGGCACGGCTTTCACTTCCACTGTAAGGACTTAAGCCCCCCCCCCCCCTATGCACAACCACATACTTTTTAGACTGTGCAGTAAAAAAACATAAAAGTTAATAATTCACGCATATGGCAATTGGGCTTAGGAAAAAAATGTGTAAAATAAAACGTTTTCTTCCTTCATTTTTACTTTTTTCTGGCAGAAGACCCCCCCCTACACTCTATTCTGTAACAACCCCAATAGGGTTATGGAAAAGTTAAATGGACGCCCATGGTGCAATCCCTATAAACTCATACTAATACCATCAACATCCACCCAAGCCAGACTCGTTTATTTAATGTGGGCCCTCCACACATTAGTAAGATTAATATTGTAGAAAGACCTAAACGCTACACGCGTCAGTGCCAGCTGAGCTACTATGCCACCGTCGGCCAGGCGGGATGATGACTCGGGCAGGTCCGTGAAGTTAACCCCCCCCATAAAAGCACTAACAATAAAACTAGTATTAATGGTTAGTGCTTCGTTAGTGCTGGTTAGTGCTTCAACTCCCATCGTTAGTGCTCTTACGGTTCAGGAGCTATAACCAAAAAAACTGTGGGTGGGGCCAACTTCACGGAAGTTAGCACCCTCCAGTAGTAATACCAGCACTAACGAGGCACTAACCGTTGGTACAGTTTTGAAAGTTAGTGCTGGTTAGTGCATCAACTCCCATCGTTAGTGCTCTTACGGTACAGGAGCTATGACCAAAAAACTGTGGGTGGGGCCAACTTCACGGAAGTTAGCCCCCCCAGTAGTAATATGTGAGCACTAACTTTCAAAACTGTACCAACGGTTAGTGCTTCGTTAGTGCTGGTTAGTGCTTCAACTCCCATCGTTGGTGCTCTTACGGTTCAGGAGCTATAACAAAAAAACTGTGGGTGGGGCCAACTTCACGGAAGTTAGCCCCCCCCCCAGTAGTAATATGTGAGCACTAACTTTCAAAACTGTACCAACGGTTAGTGCTTCGTTAGCGCTGGTTAGTGCTTCAACTCCCATCGTTAGTGCTCTTAAGGTTCAGGAGCTATAACCAAAAAACTGTGGGTGGGGCCAACTTCACGGAAGTTAGCCAACCCCAGTAAAAATATATACAGTACTAACTGTTTTTTGATAGGCTAAATGTACTAAATGAATCCTTGCCCCATGTGAGGAGGGGATAACTTCCCTGGGGAAATATTACCTTTTATTAAAGGGCTTAAAGTGTTGCCACTTTGTGTTAAAATAAGTAAAAATATGATATATTAATTTATTTTTGAAACAGTGCCTGCAAAAACAGAATAGTTATTTGTGTAACCAGTGGGCAAAGTGGCACTTTGCTGGACACGAGAGCAATGTTTACGCTCGAGCCGCAGGCGAGTGCGGAATGATCTCGAGTGCAGCAAAGGCCTTTTGCACTTGTGTTACACATTATATTTTTCCTACAGTCACTATAAAGCATATAAATGATTAGTCTTTCAAACACTATACAACACGTTTTTAGGTTCAGCTGGCAACACAAATAGGTGCCCTAGAGAAAGTAGTACCCGGTCCGTATCACTCCGTTTTTTTTCCTCGGCAAGAAATGTGCTCCGCGACTTGAGAATATAGTTCCGTATGTTTTTGTAATTTGAAGTGGTTTCCGCGCCTAAAACAATGCTTTAAAGGTATTTCCTTGTTTATTAAGATCGTAGGAATGTTTTAAAAACGTTTAAAAGAAAAGTCCAGAAAGTTCAGAAATACCGAAACTATAAACACGAAATGACAGGTTAAATCGTAGTTATAATAGTCAATCAGCTGCTCATAGTATTATTATCTTCAAGTGTTGCCAAACTATTTCCAAGCGTACACGGATTACGTGCATAATAGAACCACGCTGTTTTGTGTTGTTTCGTTGGAATCCTGATGTGCGCCAAAGTATAAACCTTACGACAAAGTATAAATATGCAGCAATTAGCAGCTTTCTGTACTATAAACAGTACAAGGAAGCCAACTTTGTCGGGTGACTGTAGGAAAAAATAATATGTACTGTTTGTATTGGAAGTGTTATCCACGTAGACTGTTTCTGTTCTGAGTGTGGAGTATCTTAATTATCTCTCAATTACACTTGTACAAAAAACACTCCATACTTGTGTCCAAAGTTAAAAGAAACGTAAGGTGGGTTACCGGTTGTGTTAGAATCAATGTTATCATAAATATCTGTTTATAATTTTTTTGATAAAATAGATAGGAAAGCCCTCAAGGTACATTTTTTCACCAGGTCACAGGGATCTGTTTGGTACTAGTAGGATGGTCCATCAACTACGTCTACTTTGAGTACTCCGAGTTTCTCGAGTCTCACTTTTTCTCCCCGGGATTTCTCATGGTCGGCATCGGTATCCTGGTTTTTGCCGTCGCTTGTTTTGGCTGCTTGGGAGCCTACAGGGAGAGTACTTGCATGATTACCGTGGTAAGTTATTATTTGAAGTTTTTAATATATTTTATTTTTAAACTATAGAAGACCTACTCTCTATTAGGTAGGTACACATTGTAGGTGAAGTGCATCATAGGTTTATTGAGAAAATAAGCTGTTCCCAACTAAGCTTTGTTGGGGCAAAGACTATAATATGTGCTTTATTGTACAGATATGTGTTCATATATATATAGTATTTGACAAAAACCGCTGATTGAAAGAAATGCCTAGTGTTATTGTCACAGTGAGATGTAGACATACTGATATTTAACGATGCTTATTATTAGTGATGTAATCCATGATAAGATAAAAACGATTAAGGTGAGATAAGGTAAATATTTATACAGAAGCAAGGTATATGACGAACAACTGTCTGCTGCAAATTTATAACATAATATAAATAATTGCAATCAATTGAATCCCAAAACATGGTCTTTTGTTATCTGAACAGCATAAGCTATAGAGGACATTGTCATGCAAAAACACAATACACTGCATAACTGCTATACTGACTGCATACCATGGATGGTGTTTGTTTCATATAACTCCTCTTGCTGATCATAAACTCATTAACTCCTTTGCTACAACAACCATCACTGAGGCTCTAGAGGAGTCACCAGCAGTCAACAGTTCAGCTGGTATGACACACATGTTGTGTTACAGTTCAGTGTGATGCTGGCAGTGATATTCGGCCTGGAGGTGGCTGCTGGACTCTCAGCCTACATACTCCAAGGAGACATCCACAGCATGCTACAACACACCATCACTGAGGCTCTAGAGGAGGCACCAACAGTCAACAGTTCAGCTGGTATGACACACATGTTGTGTTACAGTTCAGTGTGATGCTGGCAGTGATATTCGGCCTGGAGGTGGCTGCTGGACTCTCAGCCTACATACTCCAAGGAGACATCCACAGCATGCTACAACACACCATCACTGAGGCTCTAGAGGAGGCACCAACAGTCAACAGTTCAGCTGGTATGACACACATGTTGTGTTACAGTTCAGTGTGATGCTGGCAGTGATATTCGGCCTGGAGGTGGCTGCTGGACTCTCAGCCTACATACTCCAAGGAGACATCCACAGCATGCTACAACACACCATCACTGAGGCTCTAGAGGAGGCACCAACAGTCAACAGTTCAGCTGGTATGACACACATGTTGTGTTACAGTTCAGTGTGATGCTGGCAGTGATATTCGGCCTGGAGGTAGCTGCTGGACTCTCAGCCTACATACTCCAAGGAGACATCCACAGCATGCTACAACGCACCATCACTGAGGCTCTAGAGGAGTCACCAACAGTCAACAGTTCAGCTGGTATGACACACATGTTGTGTTACAGTTCAGTGTGATGCTGGCAGTGATATTCGGCCTGGAGGTGGCTGCTGGACTCTCAGCCTACATACTCCAAGGAGACATCCACAGCATGCTACAACGCACCATCACTGAGGCTCTAGAGGAGGCACCAACAGTCAACAGTTCAGCTCGCATGATGAACGTTTTGCAGTCCGAAGTAAGTCCTGCATTCAGGTTAATTAAATTTGTATTGTTGTTTTCAGCTATACCCAACCCATACCCTACATTAATATTATTGCATACAATAGAGCAAAAAGAAAAACTCAATTATCATAGGGTACCACCCTGGCTGACTGTACCTCTTCTAGGTTTTTAATGGCTTTTTCTTCCCTATAGGGAAATTCGCTAAAATTGATACATCGTCTATTCGTCACAGGATAATAAAAAATACTTAAGAATTTTAACATTCCCTCTTCAAAAATAATTAACCCAAATTCTTGTCCTATCAAAGGACAATTACCTCTGCCGTAGCAAACAAACGTACTAAGCAAATTTATATTTTCCTGGTTGGATTTTCACTTGATCTAGTCCTAAAATATGTCAGATAAATTCCCCATATATATGGGAAATTCACTAAAATTACATTACTATTTGTCACATCAGTTTTATTTCTTTATAGCTGCATTGCTGTGGCATATATTCTTTTAGAGACTGGGAAGGGATCTACCCTGCCAATGATTCTTCCATCACACTTCCGGAATCTTGCTGTGACACATCTACTGGTGACCAGTATGTACATTTATTCTAGAAATTAGCATATAATTTATGTTTGTGATCAGTACTGTTTCTGATCAATATTCTTGCTGTTAATGATCTTTTCAGGGGCAGTTCCAGGGAGGGCATTCCCCCGAGAGCAAGGGAAAATTTTCAAAAAACGTATCTCATAATCATTTAATATTATTATAGTTAGCTACGTGTTGATACCTAAAGGAAAATCTCGGCACCATTGGTTTTTAGGACAAGTATCGAAGTATCAGTGCCAACATCAACGTTAAAATTTGAGTACGGTATTTCAATACCAACAGGACAGGGGCCTATAAGCAGCCACGTTTTGATGATGACGACAAACGATATGCGCAGCGGCATCGGACGAATTGCGCAGCGGCATCGGACGAATTGCGCGTGCGGCGGTTGTTACTTTCATTACTTGTTTATTTTTCTTAGTACATTAGGTATAAGTGATGTGTCTAAGGCTAAAACTCGAAACCAACATTAGAAAAGAGGTCTGAGTATATGTTGCGATCACGGCAACATAGTTTTGTATTTCCCGTGATCACAATTTTCTTCCTTTGGGTAATGAACATAGCCCATAAAATATTCATGTGCTCTATGGTAATAAATGGACAAAACGCTTGGCCATAGGCTATTGGAGGTGATTCTTCCAAAATATAAAGTAGATTTCTCGGTCCTAATCAAAATTTACGTAGTCTACTGACAATTAACTAGCTTTTTTCGGCCTTCTAAATTCTACAGAAATTTCCAATGTTTCCAGTACCGAGATCAGCTCGACATTCTGGTCCCCGGTCCCCATAAGTTTATTTGATTTTGATTAACAATTAGTTATTACAAATTTAAATACATGAAAACAATATAATTTGCTGTAAAAATATTGTCGAACTGCTTTCACAGATGCACCCGTAGTAAATTGATAAAAATATACGGATCTTTGTATGTATATAGGCAAGATAACATACATACAAAAAACGAATGAGTTTGTTTCATGTTCACAAGTATTTTTTACTAGTTTTGATTGTCTCCTGCAATTGTAGCAGCATCCGTGACCATATTCTGCGGTTTCGGCGTCACCGCTGGTTGTCTCTCGCTATCGCCTCAACGCCGGTAATCGGTTTTTCGGCCACGTTTCGGGTGACCGGGCTTCAGATAATCGACGCTTGACTGTAGGTAGTGAGGTTACTGATACTGAGATCTGATGATGGCCTTAAAAATGTGATAAAAATGTTAATTTTCTATTGACTTTATTTTATTACAATTAAATACTCAAAGCTTGATATGTAAACCTTCAATCAATATTAAATGTTACTGAATTAGGAGTGGAGGTAGACAGTGTTGGATTTTACAACTATGCCGCGGGTATTATACAATAAACGCCGTGATTGCTCGTGGTAGATGATGTTCCCTTGTTCACGATTTCCCCATGATGGCGGGTGACGACAATGATGCACCCTTGATTGGGGAGATGTTCACGATTTATTGTTTCAGGGATTTCAACTCCCCCTGACCTTAAAACTAGATTTTTTTACAATTAAACATTTTTTCCTACAGTTGCCTAACAATTTACAACAAGTGTAACAATGTTCTCTCACTGATTTGAGAAAGCAAAGTGGCCAATTCGCTCATCAGTGAGACAATGTTAACACTATAATGTTGCACAATGTTAACATTGTCTCACTCTAATTACTTTGTCTCACTCCAGATTTGCAACGTGAAGGCACGAAATAGTGAGCGCGTAACATGCAGGCAACGTCGTATGCGCGCGAAATACGTTGGCAGCACTGGCTGTAAATCAGCTGGTCAGCTGTTGTACTGTTGTATTTGTCACTTCACATTAAATGTTAAAAGTTCACTATTAAAAGTTCACTTCTGTGGAAAAATAGGTTATGTTTCTTCACCAATTTATTTGTTTTATGGTAACTGTAGGAAAAGTATAATGTGCAACTCGAGTTCAAAGTACAATTGCCTCACTCGAGAAACCATTCCTCACTCGCCTACGGCTCGTGAGTAAGGATTTCTCTCGAGTGAGTCAATTGCTCACTTTTCTCACTAGTTGCACAAATAACTATTTTCTACAATTAAAAATCTTTTTATGTCTCTAAATAGCCTAAAAAAGCGAGTTTTTAGGTCCAATATTCAAAAGTTTGCTTGGGAAGGGCCCTCAGACCCCCCTTTACCAAGGGGTATGGAATACCTAGACATCCTACAACCCAAGATTCCAAGCAATGGCCCCCTCCGAGAATCCGTGCTGGAGCCGCCCCTGCATCTTTTGATCTATTATTTTTTCCTACAGTTACCCGAAAAAGTGGGCTTTCTTGCACAGATTATAATACAGAAAGTCTTACTTTGACGCATGGTTTTTACTTTGGCGCACACCAGTATTCCAACCAAACAACACAAAACAGCGTGTTTTTATTATGCATGTAATCCGTGTACACTTGAAAATAAGTTGGCAACACTTCAAGATATTACGACTACAATCATTTCCCATTTCGTTCAATGTTTGGATTTGACCTAACCTAAAAACGTGTTGCACAGTGTTTGAAAGACTAATTATTTATATGATTTATAGTAACTGTAGGAAAAATATAATGTGTAACACAAGTGAAAACTGCCTTTGCTGCCCTCGGAAAACCCTGGCTCGTGCGTAAACATTTCTCTCGTGTGCAGCAAAGTGCCACTTCGCCCACTAGTTACACAAATAACTATAGTTTGTGATTAATTCTTGGTTTCAGTTTGAAAATGATTTATTATTTATCATCTACAGAACAAATGAATTATTATGTGTATTTTTGTAGCAATGTTCCGTAAGTTTTATCTTGCAAACTAAACTATTTTAATGCTATAGAATAAAGTCTTACGTAATTTGGTTGTGATTTAAATTACTATAAAAATACAATACAATTGAACAACACTGTCCAAGACTTACTTGGAAAAGCTTATTTGGTTTTTTCATAGGAGTATATATTATGACGAGTTGGTTTGATTGAAAATTATATTTTAAATACTAATAACATTAGATTTCAATTGTACGGAACCAGGTTTGTTTATGTAAAAAATATATATTTCCTCAAATTAATAAGTAATAGGTAGTAATATGGTGTGTTTGAAATTCCCTTAGATTAATTGAGAAAAAATACATAGAAATCACGTGGGAATTCAATCAGACGGGATGGGAAGACATGTTATAACGTAAACAAAGTTGTCAGTTTACATTATCATACATAGGATTTCTTATATAATAGTCTCTTACTTTAGATTATTGTAGTTTTTAAATGTGGTATGCCTACTTGAGAAAATCTTAATTGCATTTTAATAGTAGCCCATGCATTAGTGATGAATGAATTAGTGGTTTGAACAAAAATTAAATTACGTTCGATGAATTAGATGCGCTATTTCTCAACCCAGGATTTCCAAAGGAACAACTGAAGGAAGACCATTAAAAAGCTCGGTTTGGACACATGCACAAGTCGATAATCAAAAATAAATATTACAATTTCGATTTGAAATGTTCATTCAAAAATTGTTCTAAAAATATACATTTATTCAAATGAATTGTCCAATCAATAAAATTGATATTGTAGTACATTTAGATTGGTTTAGTGAGTATGTTATACAATTAATTAGTTAATTAGGGTAATTTCTTATATTGTTGAGGGTTTCAGATATAAGGAATAAAAGAATGCTATGGCTTTTAAGTTTTCATTCAAACTCTTTATCATCTCACACAGTTACTCTTGTATGCAGTTATCACAGTAACCAAAATGGTAGAAGCCAAAAATATTTTGGTTGAGTTCTACGTTATCACTATATAGCCGTAAATCTATTTAAACATTTACACATATTGTTCAAAGTTGTGCTTCTAACTTGTTTATACCACTTGGTAATATAGCGGTTAGCTACAATTTGTGATGATTTGGTGGATTGATTAGGTGTTACGACATTATCATTCATCTTGGAAACGAGCATTGAACCGTTAAATTTAACCACAGCTTAATTTTAACACAGCTTACCGCAAATCACGGGCCCAAGGAGCCAGCTGATTGCTACTAGCACTAATTAAATCATTTATGCAATGGAATTATAATAATCTTTTAATGACTTTATAGGCTTACCTCCGTCAGTAGTCCAAAATTGTGTCTTATTTCAACTAATGTTGATCAAAGCTGACATGTTTCGTTGCACTGCAACATCGTTGGAGCTTTACGTCAAAAACATCAAATAATTTAAACATAAAATACAACACGGGACACGGAACACTTAAAACACGAAATAACACGATAGCGCTTTCATGACACGGCATGGCAGCAGTTGTAGGTAGCTTTGCTTTGCTACCTACAACCACTGCCATGCCGTGTTATTTTGTGTTTAAATTTTGTGTTTAATGCCGTTTGGGCAGTTAGATAAATGTATCTGTAATACTTAAATGCTATGAGAAGGGAAGGATACAGGTCTATGACGTAGGAAATGGTGAAGGAAGTAGTAAGGCTAGCAGTGCAGAGTGTGGGAACTGTATTTGGCAATTACATTAATGTATCTGCAATCCTAAAATGCTATGGGAAGAGACTGTAGACTGTAGGTTAAAATGATTACGAAGCACAAATTGATACATATTTTCGATACATGCAATCGTTTACAATCGAAATTTACAACTGAGTTGACAACAGCTGATTTTTACTCCATTGAGGCTGAAAACGATGTTTACCCTCTAAAGAGTAAAAATGCTACTTTAGCCCCGCAACGCATGCATTAAAAACGACTGTTTTTACTGCAGTATGACCAAAACAATATAATATGAACCCTTGATGACTCCGCTCAATTTTGTGGATGCCTCTGCAAACGCCACCTAGTATAAAGCCAAAGTTTACTGTACTACTATAGTGCGTTCACAAAATATAGGCGGTTAGAGGGGAAGTTCCACCACCAATTTTTTCTGCTTAATGTATGTTGCAGCTGATTGACGTTTTGAAAAATCTCAGCTGTTGAGCAATGATTCAATGGCAGGATCAAGACGTGAGGATAGATTTTTCCCCCTAAAACCACCTAAATTTCGTGAATGGAGTATAGCTTATTATTCTAGAATATACAATGTTCAATATCTTGACGATTTTATATGTTGATATGATTTACAACAGGAGTACAAACTGTAGCCAGGTGTACCAACACGGTTGTCTACCACAGTTGGAGACTTTCATACGGGAGAGCATTTTCCTGCTGGCTGGTACTGCTTGTACTATAGCTCTGATACAGGTAGGTCTAATGTGTAAGAACATACTGAATAATTCAAAATTAGTTTATATTTTTTTACTATGGTACCCAATCCCATCTAACACTTGGAAACACCTCAAAGCCCTGGTTAGTCAAATAAAAGCTTGGATTCAAATGCAGTTTGTTGTTGTGTAAAACAACCATTGACTTTTGGTTGCCTACTCAAGTAGTCATTTCATCTATGGACTAGCTATAGCCATAGACTAAGCATAGCCAACTTTTAATTAAAAAAGAAAACCAGTGAAATGAGACACTCACCGTGTGTGCTACAGTCTTGAATGATTTGTTCTCATATATAATAATAGTAGTTTATTTTATTTTACTTTTGTCCCAGTTCATAGATAATTCAACATAGATAGTTCTGTTCATAGATCTACAACCATTGTTTCGACGCTAGTTGCGTCATGGTCACGTAGTTAGCAAGTCGAGAAGTATCTTGTCGTAGTCGGTCACTTGGACGTCGTCATACTCACACAAAAACGAGTGCAAGACTAAATTACTTATGTAATCCCCTCACAGCAATCTATATCATAGTAAGTTTATTGAGCTGTGACGGGATCACGTAAGTAATTTACTCTTACATTATGTCCAACAGCTCAGGGGCTACACACATGGATTTTAATTGCAAAAAAAAAACATAAATACACTTTAATTGTTACAATAAAGTAAAACAAATGGTTCTCCCGGACGGAACACAGGCCTGTGATGAATAGTATTTATTTAATTCTACCTTCACAGGAGCCGGCTGGAGAACAGCATTGCAACAACCAATAGGGTTAGTTTATTCGATCAGGAATCGGGTGAATGCGGTGTTGCCAGTTCAAACGTCGCGGCCTTGTGTACTAAAGACGGCTATGATCTAATCCATAGTCTAAGGTGTTATTTTGGAAATTTATAATATAATCAAAATGTATAAGAAGTTAACAATTTAAAAGTAGGTATCTTCCATATTTAAATATCGACCAAAGTATCACCATGGTAACGTGTTCCAGCTGGTTGGCGTCTCCTTCTCGTGCTCACTGGCTAAGATGTTGCGTATCCAGAAGACGGAGAGAGACCGCCAGCGTTGGGAGATGAGAGAACAACTCATCAACAGCTATACACAAGGCAAGGGCGAGAAAGGTCCTGTTCTTTACATGACCATCTCCGACCTTCGGCCAAGAACATAACCTAACCTGTGTGTCTGTTGTTGGTGACGTCTGGAACATCTTGTGTCTGTGTTTGTGATTTGTTTTTGCGTACTTTGTGAATCTGCACTCGTAAATTATAAAAAACAAGCATTGGAAATAATTTAACATAAGTTGAAAGTGACTCACCGCTGATAACAATCCATGGGTAAGCACTATTTCACGGAGTAGAGTAGAGAAATGGATGGGCGTAAATGTTATGCACAACATAATTTTTATACTATCTAGTGAATGGAAAATGTTAACTTTAGTCTTAATTTGATTCATTCAACTCCATTAACTAATAATAATCATATTTTGAAGTTACTTGTTATTTTTTTATCTATCAAAATAAACTATTTTAGCCTTGAACTAGAATTGAATAAAATTATATTACATTTTTATATTTTAAATAACTCTTAGTTTTCTTCTATAAAAATGAAATGTGTGATACAAAAATAACTCGCTAAAACAAGTTCACAATATAAATCAAGTGTCAATTTTAAACTTAAATATTAAGAGGATTTAGAGCAGTGTTCTGCTAGACGCACACTATAACTATTATTTGGTTTTTTTAATAAATTTAAATTAAATTAAAACCTTATTATAATTCAAACTGATTAATCTTTTATTTAGTTTTCAACATTCATAATGCAACTTTCAATCTTATTCATCCTGTGATAAGTGTGATTCTCTAAGATCTGGCAAAAAAAATGTCTTTATGTCTCTGGACAAAAGCAAATTTTTTAAATATTTTTTTGCTATATTCATATTTGAATATTCTAAACATTTCAACTTTAGAATGTTATTTCCAGCTTTTACTATTAACATGTAAATTCTTAAATCTTTGTTATCCTTCTCTGTGTAATGTAAGCTATTGATATGACTCTAGGAGGATTAAACATTAAGGAGAGGGCACGCGAAAAGGAATATACATGTTGCGGTGAAGCCAGCCTTAGCAGAACACTAAAGGGGCACGTGGAGCCATAGAGTGGCAAAAAACCGCCACTATAACATGGGAGGGATAGGGGAAAACGTGACGTGCACAGTTTCGAATTTAAATTGCCGCTAAACTAAAACACCTGTGTTATTTACCGATGGCATTCTTAAAGTAAATTTCCTATCGAATGGTGTAACTATTTCCTGCAAACATTATTATTTATTATTTTACTATTAGAGATCTAAGTTGGAAGAATCGTCTTGGACTTTGAAGATATGATTACTTTAATTACGTTCTTGAAATAAATATTATGTATCTACACAAACAATCAATTTATTCAAGTTCCCTAAGAGTTTATCAAAATAAAAATAATATATTTACCAATATTTAATTGGAGTATTAAAAAAAAATAAAGATTTTAACTTTTTTCATTTTTACAGTTTTTAAAACAAGCTTATTAAGCATAGATTTTAAATAAAATATCCAATTTGGATGGTGAAATTAATATAAAATTAGCATTCCTTATTACTTTTTCAAAATTTTAATACCGTTTTTTGATAGTTTTTAAGTCATTTATGTGCTAGGCAGGTAATTTGAAATAGCCGAAGTCAAGAAAAAATCAAAGTGGTGTTCGCTTTTATTACACTCACAGCCGTTCCAATTAAATTACATACTTTAAAAGTAAAAAATGTTTGATTATTTTATGTCATTTTGAGCCATATTATGAGAGCTTGATGTTAAGAAAATATCAAATAAAATCTGAGTAAAAAGTGATATCTTTCAGTTTTTGCAACGGTGCGTGTATCATCATATTATAGTTTTAAAACTTATTTGATTTCTTTTTATGCAAAAAGTGTTCAAACACTTATACTTCTTTATGATTTAAATATAGGATTATGAATAGTATGATCACTATTAAGTATTAACACATATAGTAGTAGGGCAAAAAATAAAAACATTCTTCCATCCTTCCACGGTTATGTTTAATAAAAAACATATTAACTGGTCATCTTAGAATTTATTATTTGTTCATGAATACATTCTTCCTCTTAGTTAGGTTTCTGATATTGCAATTCTAAAGTTCTTAATTTTGTTTGCATTATTTATGTAGTCTTAAATCAATCTTATAATACTTGACTGCTATTTCAGTAACTAAATCTCTAATATGACTTTTTATCAGTCCCAATTGGTTGGTGTGTTCGGTTAGCCTTAAAAATGTTATTATGTATGTCTCCAAACACAATGCCTCCCCCCACAATGGTACGGTGTGCGATCGGGCTGGCTTCAACGAAACTCGAGCGTGTCCCTTACTTAATGTTTAATCCTCCTTTGTATGACCTAAAAGAATACTACAACATGGAATTTCAGGCTATACATTCAATAACGCGTCCTTTTTATGTTGCTTGATTTATTAACATGTGTGTCTAATGATTAATGTGAAATATCCAACAGTAAAGTCAGCTTTTATTTAGACCAGGTAACATTTAAATCAAGGGCTCAGCTTCTAATTAAAGAGGAAGACAAAATATTAACTTATAGATGGTAAGTTTTATTTACTTCAATATTAAAATTAGTGATGGGTCGGTACTTCACGTCAAATGTCGATTCCGCCGGTTCTTGGCAAAAGAACCAGAACCGAGAACCGATGGTGAAATGTCAGACATAAAGACAGGGGCTGTTGTAGTATAACCAATCCATTTAGAAAACTTGGTAAAACTATTTCAAAAATGGTATTGGTATCAAGAATGGATAAATTTTGGTAATCACAGTCATCACCAATTCATCAAATATTTTCAACACTTCCTGCTACATTACATATTATTTTGATTTGAATGTGTTTGGCTATTTAGGTGTGTTTGTTTTTGTACAAATAAGTTTTATTTTCTTAATCCCTTAGGTTTTGTCCCAACCTAATACTAATGCAAAATACTGTAAAATTGAAGTACTCTATAGATATTTTGTTTAAAAATAAAAAAAATAAGTACCGGGTAGCCTATCCTAAAAAAATTTAATAAGGTACCGATGGTACCAGAACCGAGAATCGATTTTGGCTAGGAACCGTTTCCGGTACCGACTTTGAAAAAGTGGTACCGACCCATCACTAATTAAAATATAGCAAATTTACCACTGCGGATACAGTTTATTACAGAGGGTTATTAAAGTAAATGTGTTAATCCATCCTATTCCGCTGCAGTCTATTTTAGTCTTTTTTTTGTACTTACAAAGTAATTGTCAACAAAATGTCAAATAATGTTTATTATACAGTTGCCACAATAAGTTTAATCAGTGATTTAAAAGTTATACACTATTTTTTTACAGGAGAATGGAATCTTTTGCCTGACCCAGTTGTTGATGGATATGAAAACTTGGTGTTGTGTTTTAAGTGATAATCGATAACCACTTACTCCCATTTTTATTGATATGGACAGATAGACATGATGTATTTGATAAGTAAATAAATTGTTGTATTACAATAGTTCGATATTTTAATTTATATGGTAAACCTGATTAAAAGTTTAATGGCATCCCCACCCAAGTTTGCAAAGGTGAGGAATAGTAAAATGAAAATAAAATAATCAATATAAAATTTACATTTATTTTTATTGGAGTTTTCTTGGTGTCAGTGTTGCCATCTGAAAAAAAAACAGCGTAAATCAGTGATAAAAAAAGAAACTTTGCAAATGGGTTATGGCTTAGCATTTGGATGGACTGTATTTTAGCAATTAATTAGTAACTATAGCAAAACTGTTGTAGTTTGCTTGTTTATTGATATATTTTGATCAAACTTCGCAAATTTATTGATTTTATACTAAGCTTTTATAGCTTACTAAAAACACACTTATTATTAGCCTCCCTGTAGCAGCAAAACTAGCTACTCGTTAAACACCTATTGTTATTTAAATAGATTTAATTTCAAATCAATTCAGGCAAATAGAAATTATTTTAGTCTGCAGGTTTGCGGCAATATTGTTCTTTTCATGATTTATTGCTGAACAGTGATTACCAAATTTTTTTAACAGACCCAAAGTTAATGAATTGAAAATAACATGACTGAACAACACAATGAATTTTGTTGACGTACTAATCCAAATGATGACTACAATGTCTATTTATACGGTATTACGGTGTTCTCATGGGCCTGTCATAAATTTTGTGTAAACTGTTATACCATGTTGGATAAACTATGGCTCTTAGACATCCGTAGTACAGAATTGTATTTCTTGCTAGAGACAAACCCGGATTATTGATGGACTGTATTTTTGACGTCCGAATTATTGACGTTCTACTGTATTAAAATTTAGTAGAAAACCCCCTTTTTACCTTCCCCATAGCAGCAAACATAAGAACTCGATAAATCTAATGTTATTTTAATCGGAAAATTATGTCTTGTTTATGGAAATACTAGCTGGCCCGACAGACGTTGTCCTGTCCTAATGTGGTTTTATGTCAAATGCTCGTTCATTTTCAAGATGAGCTTGTTCGCATGGCTCAATCATGTCAGGTTGAAGTTCGTTCGCTACGCTCACTCACCTTTAGGTTGGAGCTCGTTCGCTGCGCTCACTTGCTTTCAGGTTAGCTCGTTCGCTACGCTAACTCGCCTCCAAGTTGAAGTTCGTTCGCTACGCTCACTCACCTTTTGGTTGCAAATTAGCTGTTGTCATAAATGTAAAAGAAATAATAGTGCTGCACCCTGTTGGTAATCCTTGTAACTTGAATGCTATTGAACATCATAGAACAGAACCAACTTGTTTAATTGAAACAGCTGTTAAGATTCAATAATTCCATTTCTCATAAGGTTAACATGGGAAACTCCAGAGCCACTGGGGCGGAGCCCGAAAGGATTTTTGAAATAAGAATATGCCTATATGTTAATCGGGAATTTGAGCTATCATCATGCCAAATATCAGCCCAATCCGACCAGTATTTTTCGCGTTCACTTGTCACAAACATACATCCAAACTTTCTCATTTATAATATTAGTAGGAGGATGAATGAATTCAATTAGACATATTGAAATTCGCTTAGTCTGTAGGTTTGCTGCGGTGGGGTTGTTGGTAATTTCTAATTTCTCTCAGAAATTCTATACACAGATCTAACTACTCTTCCATTAACATTAATCTTACAATCTGTTTTATTTTTGTCTGCTACACCATTTCCATTTGTCTTGAATTTTATTTTCACTAATATGTGTACAACTAACAACTATTGAAGGGGCCTATCACTATCCTAATTTGTAACAAGATTATTGTGTGACAATTAATCTAATTATAAAAAAAAATTGAAGGAACATTTTAGGCCCCTTTCACGCATCAGCGGTCGCCACAGTGATTCTATAAGTACATTGATTTAAATGGGTGCTTTTATGCACCGCAGAGCAGGCTTCTTTACTTTAGTGCCCAACAAGTCCCATGCAGTGGACTTATGAACCGCGAATTTTCACCGGATCGAAGATACATTGAGCATTATGGGAGCATTTATACACAGCGGAGAAAAACACTCCCGTTATAAGTATTGCCAACACTTCTGGTCCCGTAAATACTAGTAATTAGTTATTTTAAACAGAATGTATTGTATTTTTTGTCAGCATCATTGACCGTCTGTTTTGTAATAGTTCATACTGACTGACCTAACTGATCTGAAATTGTTTGCACAGTATTATACATATTTTAATTAAAGTTCGGTTTTAGAAAAACAAGTTTTATAACGAAAACACAGTACCTACATTAGGTAAAATGTTACACATGTTGTATGATTGACAGTTTGAAGCATAAAACCTCCTAGAAGTTTAAAGCAAGTCCATGTCAACCAGATGTTAGTGAGTAGGGCCTAACTGATTAATTTTGGCACTTGATGGCAGAACTTACTTTCCCTACCTCGACTGGAATAGAAACTAGGGGGTACGCGGGTGCGAATCGCTTGACAATTTCACAGCCGCTTATTTTTCGCTGGGTGACTCAAACCGCTACTGCTATGCATGAAACGGTCCTAAAACTGCATAAAACTAAACACATCATATTATATTTTAAAATATTTTTGTAACAGCGCCCACTCATATACTTGGCTTTCATTATAGAACTACTCGACTTACTTCTCTTTTGGAGGAGTAGTTATACTACTAAACTCCTGAGCATTCTTTACTACCAGGGTATTTCTGGTTCACAATACACTCATTGGTTCTTGTGTGTACTCTAATATTTGAGCCACTTTCAATCAAACATCATTCAGACGAGTATCCAAGAAGAAAGAGGGTAAAAACTGTGGAATCTTAGAACATGTACTTACAATCTTAGGACTTTGTCCTTTCCGCCAGAAGCCACCCTAAGCCCGTCCGGAGCCCAGTCTACAGCAAACACTTCATCTGCATGTCCAGGCAAGTCCTGATCTAACTTTCGCGTCTTCATATTCCACACTATAACAAGAAATGTGTGTTGACATTTAAAAAAACATGAGACAAAGTTGGGGGTTTCTCTGGTGAAACGTTGAGGGACCATTGAGGGGTAGGGGGGGGGGTGAAATGATAAATGACATTATAAATCAATTACTCCAGGTGAATTAGAAATGGTGATACACCTATTATACCAATCAGGAAGGCTGCAGGCTTACACATGTTCAGTGGTGCTCAGAGAGAGGGACCATAGGGATTTCGGGGGGAATGTAATTTACATATTGTCATTGATGATGATATCTTCGCAACTGCGGGGGATTGTCAATATAAAGCCATGATCTTGGGAGACAATAATGATGCCTTCGCAGCTGCAGGCAAATTTCAAAATATTGCGACTATCATCAATCAATTTATTTATCATACAAAAGCCGATACGTGCATTTGCAATCTGTGCATAAACTATACAAGGTTTCTCTGAACCAACATGAAAATGAAAACCAATATTTAAAAATTAAATATTTACACCAACATTAAAAATATTTCCTACATTGTTAGACTGAGAATTAAACCGTGGATAATTTAAATTATTTACAAGCCACGGATACTTAATTCATTTGAAATCTCAGAAAAATATATAAATACGACCATGGAAAGCGATTATGATGTCATTGCGACCGCGGGGAATGTTGAAATATGGCAATCACTGGAGACGATGATGATGTCTTCATGGTCTTGGGAGTGGGAGATGCTCTCTGTTTTGCTGCCACAGAGGGAGATGATTTTGATAGGTCGTGATCACAGATTATTGTGACGACAACATTATGACGCAGACAGGTAGGAGACTGCAGTCTCACAGAAGTAGCTAGTACAAGAAGTAGTAGTAGTAGAAGTAGTTTTCTCTATCACCATAGTAGCTACCTGGTCCTGTGTCAGTCCTTTTTTGGTACTTCCTGTTAAAGGGAACATTCATTATTATCGATGGTTTTTTTCTCGATATATCGATATTAACAAATTGAAACATATCAGCTGACAACTACGATAAATATTGTTCAGTATCAACAAACAATAATAAAATAAAACTGTAAAAAAATACCCTAACATAACTAACCAAACTTGCTGTAACATTAAAAAATTCCGTGTTTAACTTACCTTTTCTATTATCAAACCCAAACGGAATTTTTAAATGGTACAGCAAGTATTGTTGGTTATGTTAGGTTAGCTTAGAACAGTTTCATTTCTTAATCCATATAATAGACTGTTTTAGCCTAAACAAGATCAGTTAGTTGTTGTCCATTTGTAATGGACCGGAAAACAAAAATATTGATATATCGAAAAAATCATCGATAATAATGAATGTTCCCTTTAACAAGAAAGTACCCCTTTTTTTTTGCTATTTCATCATTTTTGGTTTGGATAAAGAGACCCTCCCAGTTCTCTTTAATGAGCATGGCCTTTCATAATTACCCAAATATCTAGGCTGTTTCATCAGTATCTAAAGGTATAACTATGTGTATCTCTAGGTATAACTTATGTGATACCTTAGGACCGTAAGTCTGGTAAAGGTATAGAAATTTCTCAAAGGTGTCCTGTGAGAGCTATTGAGGAAGGATTTACCTTAATTTTCTTACCTTTTTCTAACACTCAAATGTTATTTACACATTCAATCCATCCTACTAAAATATTTTACTTTCACTACAACAAATTGAGCCTTTTTTATCTTTGTATAAATACTAGGGAATTACTAGAGAGACCCACAAAATTTAGCGGAGTTATCGGATCATTATATTGTCATTGGGCTCACCATAAAGTTTCATAATTATTTTTATCTAAAATTTTAAATGGAAACAATATTTGGAGAGATAGTAACTAATTAGGGTGATTAACATCACTAGGGTGGTACATCAACTTTCTCTAAAACACACAGTTCTAGCTAGTCGTAACTCGTAACCTAGAATTCAACCTAAAGTTTTGGCTTCTACCATTTCTGTTACTGATTACTGTGTAGTGTGTATAAAGCCTGGTTCTCACGACGTGTTGGTGGGTTTGTCGAGTCTCCTGCGATCTTGTTCAGCAGCTTGTCCTGATATGGTCCATTTTGTCAGTTACTCGTGCAATTAGCTCAAGGGGCGTTAAAAAGAGTTTCATTTTCTCTGATGGTAATATATAAATGAAAACACAAAAAACCATGATAGTTGCTGCTTACAACCGGTTCTTAGGATCTAAGCACTTCAAAATGGTTTTGAGAGAAAATAAGAAATTTTATGTTTTAGGGGTCAAAATTAGAAAACACAATTTTTACCAAATAAAACCCGGTTTCCATGGTTCGATCATGGTGGTTCGCAAACTCGTTCTAATAAACCTAGGTTTACACGTTTATACCAAATTTCATCCAAATCAGATGATTTTTGTTTATAAAACCTACGGTAATAGCTTATTCCCCATATGGGAGATTCACTTCAATGCTTGAACCCAATCTAACTATGATAAAAGATTAATAGAGTAGCACTTTACCTTTGAGCGTAGAGTCCGCACTGCCGCTAACCAGGAGTCGTGAGTCTGCAGACCAAGCCACCATGTAAACTGCCTGCACATGGCCTCTGAGCACAGATAGGAATCTAGCAGAAAATATGTACATAAGTATGACGACTACAACTTAGACTGGCGTTAGCGTCAACTTAAACTTAAGCCTTTTCCTAAGGAGGAGTACTATGATATGGGATAAGGAAATTAAATGGTGCAGAAAAATATAAACAGGGCACATTAAAGGAATGGAGGGGGGGGGGTGTTTGTGGGCTTTAACTCTTTCCAAAGACTTGTGGATATGTACTATTAATATTATATTAGTGATATTCTTAAAACTAATTAAGTGCAAGATAATACTTGGGTTGAACTTAAAAAAATACTTTAAGCCGTTGAAAATCTATAGTGAGGCGGCTTTTCAATGCAACAATCATTGAAGTAAGGGATGCAACAACATCCTGGTTCAGAAGCAAATGAGAAGAAAGGCGTTATTATCAGTGTTAGGTAGTCAGTATAATGTTGTGTTGGTAGTGTTTGCACAATATGGATATATCTTTAATTTGAAACAAAAATTGGAAGGCCAGTGAGAGGTCCAACATTTTAAATCGCAAGTAAGATCCTCAGAGTAGCTTTAATATGTTCGTAATAAATTTACATATTATTAATAAATATTTTTTCTATGAAAATATGCGATCCTGGTAACAGGAAAGCCCTACAGTAGAAGGTTGTTAGTCAGACATAATTGGCAGTGCAGGATTTCCAGTGCCGAGTAATTGAGTGCCATTTTAAAAAAGCTATTAGTGAAAAAATAATAACGGAAATAGGCTACTGTTCAAATAGGCCATAGGGAGTAAAAAAATATACTGCTAGTTATCAGGCTAATTTTCTGTGTTCTAATATGATTTTTTCCCATTCGCTCGTACTAAGCTGATTCCCCTCCAACTCTACTGAATGAGTTTGAACCCTGTAAAATGAGCTTGAAAACTTCTTTTTTACTGTGAAAGAAAACCCTTTAGACCAATGTCAGCCTGAAATGAAAATAACTTCTAAAGAAGTATTTCTGGTCATAGTTGATGGACCTTGAAAAGAGATCAAACACTTGGCCTAAAAATATTTTATGGTACATCGGAGAACAGTTCTAGCATAGAAGATTCAAACAAAGTAACAATTTTGTAGGGGCATTTGAAATACTTGTTTAATTGTTTTGAATAACTTATCTTAACAAAAGAATTTGTTTACCTTCCTGTGCGTCCATCCCATAGACGGATTGACTTATCAAAGGAAGCAGAGGCGATTACTCTACTGTCTGGTGAAAATGCCACACAATTGATCAGTTGCTGATGACCTGTCATTCTGGCTGGAAAATAGTCATACCATATTAACTCACTGTTGCTAACCCCTAGGCATAACCACTACTCACTGTTGCTATGCCGCTTATTTCGAGGTCATTGCACAACCCCTCCCTCCCTTTTTATTGTTTTGCCTTTCTAGTGTTTCTATTCTGACTTTTTTTAAACATAAATTTATTGCTTACATAACAGTTCAGTAGTGGAATTTTCTATTGTGAAACAGTAGGCCTACTTTAAAACAAAATCACTACCGATCATGTCATTCCATTCTGTGTCAAGTCAGTATACCATTGCCAGTCAGTCACCGCCGACTGCTTTGAGTTGACCTATTCTGTTGTGACAGCTATAAAAATAGATTAGGACAACTACCTCTTGCTTATTTCTATATTTGTATTACTGTAGAATCTACAGTAATACAAATTATCCATCATTTTATGTACCGGTAAACACAATTTACATTTTAACAAATATTGATTTTTTACAATTTTAAACCAAACTGGCGAGTTCAAAGATAAGCTCTAGTTTCAAGGCCGTACTCTACTCGAATTCGAAATCTCGAATACTCGCCCGTTTTGTGTTAATAGTATAAAAAAAAAAAAAACTGGATCCATTAAAACCAGATCCAGCCCAAGATCCGATTTTTTGTGGATCCGATCGGGCGTCAGTTCTAGCTCAGATCCGGCGGATCCGGTAGTCCGATATCCGGATCCGACCATTACTAATAAAAAAAAGGAGAAATACTTGTAAAATATGGAAGTAATTGATTGGAACTTAGATTCGTAGATAGCATAAATGGTGAGTTTGTAGATAATAAACCGACTGCAGAGGAAATCGCCTTTGTTATCAATTCAACTGTAGGCAAACCTCCAGCAAATGTATGTATTTTCACTTTTTAGAGAGGGTAGTTAGAAACTGCTTTCCATGTTAAGTCTACATTGTGATCCAATGCTATATATACTGTATGCTTTTAGAGAAACTCTGAGGACGTAGATAATTTCTTTATTAGTTTGTTTTGTTTACTTCATTACACTAATTAGTTTTCTTCGAGGGTTTTTAGGATCTTTACTCCTACTAAACCAATAAAATTAGCAACCGACCCATTACTATTAATTGTTGGAAACACATTTTAAATGAGTTATTAGATTACCTATTGGCTTCTTGTCCTTCTCAGGAGTCCATAGATACAATGTGAAGTCATCTGAGCCTGACACCAAGTACTCTCCTGAGTCTTTGACTATGTCTTTGTACTTCTTGACAGCAAGTGCCTGGATAGCTGCTTCTGTTGTGGAACATTGATATTAGTTAAGAGTCACAGAAGTTTAGAAATGCATCAACTATCCATAAGTATCCCTGAAAAAAAAATGTGAATTTAAAATAATATCTTCCTATAAACTGAAAATAAAACTTTGCTCATATCCCAACATGACGGGACTGGACCATGGTCAGAACAGCCAAAAGATCGGGTATTGGGAGGAGCATAACCTGCAGTCTTTGCGACATCGGTAATAGTCTCCCGCGTCCGTGGCAAAAACCGTAGGCATAACTTGCAGTCTCTCTGACTTCGTCAATTGTCTCCCGCAACTGTGGCAACACCTGTGAGTGTAACTTGCAGTCTCTGCGACTTTGGTAATCGTCTCCGGATACCCGTGAGCGTAATTTGTAGTCTCAGTGACTTCAGTAATTGTCTCCTGCAATGGCGGCAACACCCGTCATCGGCGACCGTGGTGATCGTCTGCCGCGATTACGGCAACATCCGTCTTTTGGTTAACCGATCTCGCTCGCGTTATCGCCCCAGACATGAAACAAGTAGAAGGTCGGACACTAGGCCGGGTATCCCGAGGAGTCGATTATTCCGAGGTCGGCTATGAGAGGTTCTACTGTAAAAATGTTTTGGTCTCAGCACAAGCAACCTTTGAAAGCGTGATTTGGCTAAAAAAAATGGGCCTACTCAATATATAGTTAAAATTTTTTTTGTCCGAAGACGCTAGGCACTAGAGTGAAATTGTTTTTCACATTACTTTAGGCTAGACTTAGGGGTTGCGGCATTATCACTTAAATAAATTCCATTGGTGATTTGGCGGGAATTGAACCCGGGACCTCAGGGACTGAAGTCCCGCGCTCTAACCACTAGACCAGCTCGCTCCTGATATTTAGTTTAAATACAGTATAAACAAATATCTAATCATCTCCAACTATCTTAACTCCAATTTCCCGAATTACCAACTATCCAAATCACCTCAGAGGGCAAATTAAATCAATTTGGCCAGAAAAATTAAATTTATATAAGGTTCAGTCCAGATACTAGACTCCTAAATTAATCATAATCCTAAACAAATGGTAGGCTGGTGAAAGTTTGCTTTACAATCCCATAATAGGAAAAATTCAATTAAAGATAAACGGCTATCCAATGTGTTATATCTCCTGGTCTGTTAATATGATGAATATTTACTTTTAACTTATTTATTTATCATATGGTTTTGTTTTGTTGTAGTCATAGTGTAATATGAATTTTGAAAATAGAAGTGTGGAATAGAAAGTCTAGTCTATATATTAATTTGAAACTGTTTTTCTTTGTGACAGCTAATTTGAGAGAACGGCTGGGCGTAGAAACTTGGTAGAGGTGTCTAAAGAAAGGGCTTGGTCTGTAGATGAGCCATCAAAAGAGAAACGTGGTAAATTCCCTTGGGGCTCTGCCCCAGTGGCCTTTAAATCCCCATCCCATGTTATTCTTATGGGGGGAAAACGGGTTTTTGTCACAGCTAATTTCAGACAACGGCTGGGCGTAGAAACTTGGTAGGGGTCTCTAAAGAAAGGTCTTCGTCTGTAGATGAGCCATCAAAAGAAGAACGAGCTAAATTCCCTTGGGGATCTGCCCCAGAGGCCTTTAAAGTCCCCTCAGCAGATTTGTTTACATTATGACCATATGCATAATTTTACACTACTTTTTAATGAAACAGCTGTTAATATTTAAATTGTGATTTATTGAATTTGTCAAAATGAAGTAGCCTACAGTATTGGCAATGGGTTTTTCTGATTTTAAATTGGATTTTCTTCTGCATCGTGTCATGTTTTGCAATATAATGTTCTATTACCAAATCAGTGGAAAATCCTAATATCACAGTAACTCTTGATATTCTTTGGCGTATTGCATCTGTAGACGAAACTTGGGTTGGTAAAATTATTACAATGGAAAAAAGCGAGAAATCCTGGACGATTTGATATAGGCTAAAAATAAAACTGAATTAACAATATGCTACATTTCTTGAGCAATCATTGAAATAACCGATTTGCAAACAATGGAAACATAGAAAAGTCATAGAACACAACCAAGTAGAAGAAAAGAAATAATGTTTTTTTTTCATTTTTAATTGTTATTATAGACAACCTAATGCGGCTATGAGAGGGAAAAATTTGTAGTAACACTAAAAAACAAGATCAGCTTTTTGAGAAAAGATAAGATATTTACAAAAGATTTTGATTATATCTAACTGTTGTGTAGATCGTGAGTATTTCCATAATCTTCGTGAGTCGCCTGTAATGCTTTGCAATTGCTCGAATTCGAGCAACAGGTACACTAGTTTTTTATAATTTTAGGTTTATTTTCATCATTTGAAGAAGAGGTAGGTGTGTAGTGTAAATTAACATTTTGGCAACCGTGACAGGATTTGTTTTTCACCTATCTCTATGATGGAAAATCTAAAGAAAACTAGAACAGTATATAGGGTTTATTAAAAAAAAAAAAAATTGAACAAACTAAACAGTTTAGTTGAAAATGAACCAACGGACAAAATTGAAATTCAAAAAACTCTAAAACTTTTGGAGATAACGGTTGATGAGCTCCAGGTTTTGAACACTCAGATTTTTTATTTGTTATTGAGTAGCCTAATTATAATGTTTCTGAAGATGAGCAGTTAGCTGGATGTAGTTCAGAGTTTTCCTCCGACTGGAGAGAACTATCCAAAAGCAATTGAATGTTTGAATGCCAGATTTGATAAGGGTCTATTGGTAGAGATTTATGTCAGGGAACTTTTGAAAATTGTTTTACCAAATGCTCTATGAGGCAAGAACACAATTAACTTACAAAGTTTGTATGACTAACTTGAGTCTCATATGCGTGCTTTAGATACCTTTGGGAGTTATAACAGATAAATGTTCCTCCATGTTATATACACGTTAGTTGAAAGTTGTATGCCTGAAGATCTCTTAAGGGTGTGGCAAAGAAGCCCTTTAAGAGTAGGTACAGACCCTCAGCAGGGTGTCCACAGAAATTTTGTCATTAATTTCCCTGACTTTCCATGACTATCCATGACCATTAACCATTGATTTCCATGACTCACGAGCTTAACTAAAAAATTATAATATACCATACACACACGAATAATACTGCCTAGTCAAGTTATTTCACAGAAAATATTGAAATATGTATTAACAGATAACAATGGAGTACAATGTACAACAATGAACTAATACAAACTCAAAACCCATAAACTAAGACAACTATATAAATTGAAATTGTCATACATTTGTGAAAAATTCCGAAAAATACTACAATAGTCGGGGTTACGGCCGACTAGGGCATTGAAAGGTCCCCTGAAATCCATCCATCATTGGGGATTTCCATGACTTTCCATGACTTTTTGCCTATTTCCATGACTTTCAATGACCAAATTTTTTTTCCATAACTATCCCTGACTTTCCAGAATGTGGACACCCTGCTCAGGAAAGACTTAACAATGTAATGAAGTTTATGTTGTCTGAAGTTGAAGGAGAAAAGAGAATCGGTCTAGCCATGGTAGGTTTTGGGATAAGTAGTTCTGGGAAGGATAAATCTTTGAAAAGGTCATCACTCAACCAGGTAAGATAGACATACCAACGGCTTCAAGCCTCATGTCCTCTGGTAAAACTCAAATTCTTATACAAAGTGTGTCTTTTGTGATAAGAATCATAAGAGAAGTAACTGTTTTGCTGCTCAGAAATTGCCGTTGTCTGATAAGGTGTCCACTTTAAAGGAAAAGAGGTGTTGTTTTCTTTGCTTGCAGCCTGGTGTATTAAGGATTGTAGAGTTAATTTTTCTTGTTCTAATTGTAAAAGGAAACATTATACTGTGATGTGTCCTAGTATTCATTCCAAAGAAGTAGTGAATGAGCGTGTAAGCAAATGTGTTGATGAGGTATCTAAAGAAATCACAATAGTAGAAGATACTGTGTTGGCTAATAAATCAAGTAGCAGAGTGAAAGTGTTTCTGCAAACAACAAAGGCAAGATTAAGAACACCAGGTAGTAATCAATTTGAGACTGCCATTCTTTTTTATTCTGGTTTGCAGCGTTCTTACATTTTAAAGGACTTGGCTGAAAAAATGAATTATGAAAGCTTAGGGGAAGAAACAATCATACACTCTCTTTCATCATAACAGACATCGCGTGTTTCTAACCACCCAAAATTACAGTTACAACTGCAACTTTATGGTATTGAGTCAAACTACCATGTGTGGGAAAATTTCACCTGTTACCGAAGGTCTATACAAGAACTTAGAGAGAAAAGTGTTTCTCTGACTGACATGCATGAGACCAAGCTACCAATTGGTATATTGATTGGAGCGGATATAGCAGGTAAGCTCTTCACGGGAAATATGATTCAACTGAAATCCGGACTAGTGGCTATGGAAACTCTTCTGGGATGGAAACTGATTGGTAAGACTACAATTAGTGGTAGTACAGGTTCAACTACACTCTCCACTGTTGTAACGTCAATGTTTATTAATGATGCTGACATATCAGAACTGGGGAGATAAGATACTATAGGTATTACTGATACAAGTGAATCAGTTTCCAAGGAACAAAAGGCTTTGGCAGTAAAAGGGCAATTTATCAAAACTACCACTATAAATGAAGAAGGCCGATATAAAGTAAGTTTACCCTTGGGTTAATTATTGTCATTCTCCTTTGCCTAGTAACAGAGAGTTAGCCGAAAAGAGGTTATCAACAGTTGTGAAGAAATTGGATGATATCAATTTGACCGAAGACTATGACTCAGTTTTTAAACAGAGGTTAAGTCATTGGCATCATTGAAGCTGTACCTTCTGACAATTTGAACAAAAACTCTCACTACCTGCCACATAGACCTGTAGTGAAAGAGAGTAGTATTACCAAACAAATTCGTCCAGTGTTTGATGTATCAGCAAAGACCAAGTTTTAGCCCTCATTGAACGACTGTATTGAAAATGGACCAAATTTAATTGAACTGATTCCTTCTTTTATAACGCGTTTTAGGGAAGGGAAG